AAAGATAGGCAAACGTTCAAACCACTTTCATTACTTATTTCCCTTCTTTAAATAGTGAAATATGTGTGCTCTTTAAGCACCTTTAAAAAGATTTGCACTAAACAAATTAAAAACCAATTACTTCTCTTAATCATTATTTAAAAAAAAAATAAAGAGTGACATAGTATAAAAAGGAAATTTATTTAAAACTGATAATATAAATACAAAAAATAGATAAAATAACATAGTGCGAGAAACCATTACACGTACAAAGCTTTCATGCTTCATATTCTTTTGACCGACTCATAAATTGGAAGCATTATGGCAGACATAATAATACAGAGATTTCCAAGAGAGACTAATAGCACTCACACAAATGACGTGTTGTTGAAACTTGTTTTAATTTTTATCAAAACTCGAACAAGCCCGAAATGAAAATTCTATGTTCGCATTTTCGAATTATATACGAGCCGACCCGCGGCATAGCATACGCCGCTATTTAGTTGTTGTTTTTTTTCTACTTTTCAGTTATTCATAATTTGTGAATTCGACACTACCAACACTGCCACTGAAAATAATTCTTTTAAAACACTATAAGTAGCTCGTTAAGGACGATAACCCCCTCTCCTCCCCACCCCCTCCATTAAAGTAAACTTCACTTAGTTACCCCCCCCCCCCCCTCCGTTTAAAATCGTTTCAAACTAAATTATCTGCCCCTAATAGTCGTCACTAAACCCGGCTCTGTAAACATTTAGAATGAACCACAGCTCACCAGACCATGTAGGGGTGGGGGTGGTAGGGAGCGCGTTTACAGCTTGTTTTCTAGCGTCTCCCAGAAGAGAATTTCATATATACGAGCCGACCCGCGGTGTATCATACGCCGCTATTTCGTTGTTTTTTTTTCTACTTTTCAGTAATTTATAATTTGTGAATTCGACAGTACCAATGCTGCCATTGAAAATATTTGCTTAAAAACACTACCCCCCCCCCCCCCCACGTGAAAGCAGCCTCCTCTTAGTTACCTCCTCTAAGTTTAAAATCGTTTCAAACTAAATTATCTGGCCCTACCAAACCCGTCTCTATGATTGTAAAATGTAAACAGAGTGAACACCGCTCACCAGATCATGTGGGGGTGGGGTGGGGGTGGTAGTGATAGTGATAGAGAGAAAGAGAGGGGACTGCAAGGAGGCGCTTGCAGCTTGTTTTCTAACTGATCCCAGAAGAGAATTATATATATATAGATAGATATATATAAAATTCTTTGCCGATGGTCCTTTTTTTCTAGTTCCGCCACTGGCCAGAACGTAATGTGTTACTACCTCCCTTCACTTAGTGCAAGTTGGGGGTTTGGTACTACGAGACTGATGACAGGGACAGTTGGCATTCTGACAATAGAGCGTCTTTGGTCAGTGTGGACGTCGCAGGGGTCCTTCGTCATTGTGGACTTTTGATACCCTGCTGAGCCACTGTATTTGGTCGCGGGTCAAGGCTCGGTCTACTGCCATTTGGTTATTATTATACGACATCAATTTTTTTTATCTGTCCCAAATTAAATATAAAACGTCACAAAATACCCCATAGATCTCTTCAAGTAATCTTTGATCTCTAAAGCATTTGAGCAATTTATTTGTTATCCAGTCTTTAAATGTGACAGTATTACCACAGTTAAGCATCAGGCGCTGAAAGTTGATTTCAAGACATTCCGATTTTCGGCTCGTTAGGTTCAAATGAGATGTTTATTGATTTTCTTGATTGGAATCTAATAATGCAACAGTTGACTCAATCTAACCACAAAATAGCGAACTGGATGGTAGACAGATAGCAGTCAACAAACTGAGTTTGGGTGAATCTTTTAATTTGTGTTAGCTTAGAACACAATTTAAAATAAACCGGGAGTGATCTCCCCAAAACTTTCTCGAATATCCTTATATAAAATAACGGGATGGGAACTCGGGCTATAGACATGATTTTAAATCCATTTTAAATACTTAAAGTTTTAAAAATAGAATAAAATCTCGTAGACTAAAGAATTGCACACCTAGTGAACGCCAAATAAAAAAGTGCATAATACTGCGGAATATTATTAGTACTTTAAAAATTTACATTAGTTTTTTGAGAAATCGGAAGTAGCGTAAATTAATACTTCCGGTCAACGGAAATTACTCAAAATTTAACAGAAGGTAGAGAATTAGATCTTTTACTTACATGTGAAATTTCATTTATCTATCTGAAATAGTACTCAAGTTATAGGCTTTTGAAAAATTCAAAGTAGGAAAAGTACCACTTCCGATTATCGGAAATCGCTCAAAAGTTGATACGGATCTACGATTTTGATAAAATACTTATATATGAAATTTCATCAACCTAGCTGTAACGGTACTCAAGTAATCGTGTTTATACACGGACAGACACACACACACAGACAGACACACAGACATACGGACAAGATTGCAAAATTATTTTTTTCCGTATCAGTGAGGTGTAAAACGTCTCGATTTTTTTTGCACGATTACAATACTTTCTCTATACTTCGTATATACAAGAAAGTAAAAAAAACTAAATTTGGTTAAAATATCTTTTATTAAGGCTTTTTTTTTTAATTTGACTAAAAGTATGTCACTTTACATTGCTCCCTCCCGTGTCATTTATGAGCGGCCTTAAATACTTAATGAACGTTTAATTTTTTTTTTAAAGTAGTCGTTTTTAAGGGCTAAGAAATATTATGTTACGAAAAACTTTATATTTTTTTAGACTTACGTGTTATCGAGGTGTATAGAAATGGTATACACCTGAAATCCATATTGAGTCTAGATTTTACATTACATTTATATTGTATATCAACCACTATAGTACGTATACTTTAATAAAAAAAAATAAGCTATACACGACCTTTGCTTATTGAGAGGAGCCGCTTTGGCCTACTTTCAATATCAAGAGTGGTGTGCTCTCCCCTCTAGGTTTACTCTACGTCCTGGAATATGTAATGCTAGGGCGTCTTGTGTTTACACAGTTTGTGTTTCTTAACTACATGGGCGTGCTGTATAAAGTGCAGCTAACAATAAAAGACAACTGGCTGGAATGTTAATTAGTAGTGCTTGTTGAATCTACTTAAACTTGACAAGTGTTGCGTTCAGGATACAAATAGCACACGTGTAGATGTTGGTGAGAATGTGGTTAACACAAGTAGGCCTGGATCTACATATGGAGAAAAAAAAATGATGTGTGTTTGTATTAAGTATTAGTGTTTCAAGCTTCCTCGCCTAATATATCATGTGTGTTTAAAATACATAGGGAGTATTATGATGAACCCTCCACACTTTATGGTCCTCCCCCCCACTTGACTTGACACATGAAGTGTAGACCTAGTTAAGTTAGTTCATTATATACTGGCAAGCTATCTAAAGTGCTGTGCTATCTCTCCTATAGTTATGTTACATGTGATGTATGTTGTTGCTATCTTGATGTACAGTAGTATAAATACTTGATCTAGAGTACCTCTTCACCTTATGAAATAGCAAATGTTTGATAGATGATAACTAAGGGGTGGGTAGGCCTTAGTCTTTATCCTGCAGGACAGACTTGTCATTTGGAATCTGGTTGTAAAACATTAAAAAAATTTCAATCCCATTTTCTCTTTTAGAGGTTTATCAAAGTTTGATAGACTTATTCCCAATTGAAGACTATGTCTGTGCCATTGGCAGTACTTTTAATTCTTAGCTTTTCTCAAGAATGTTATGAAAGTCACATTGTATTGACAGTAACAAGACTTAGGCACATTTATGGTATTTTTTGTTGTGCAGTATTTTCTTCATTAGCCCAATTTTATCTATACAACACTTAGTAATGATCTGTTTTTTGTTGTTATGCTAGTGAATATTTGAAATGTACTTTGTGTGGTGATGAGGGTTTATATATATATATATATATATATATATATATATATATATATATATATATATATATATATATATATATATATATATATATATATATATATATATATATATATATATATATATGTAATATGTGCGTGTGTATTAAGGGGATTGACCCTTTTAATGTGAACTATGACAGACCCTCCAGTGGGAAATTTCATATATAACAAGTGACACAGCACAAGGTTTATTCACAATCAATTTACTCCTAATCCTAACTGAACTGTCCTACACATTACTTCTACTAAACTTTCTATTACTACAACAATTTACTCCTCAACTATAACCTAACAAATCCATGCTCCAAGTGCAGCTACACTAAGCTTTACCAACCAGCTGACTTTCACAAGTGACAAGACAGTTTGCATGTAACTGGCCTGGCTCTTTGATTGGTTCTATCTGCTCTCAACTGCTTGACCAATTTCTAAATGTAACCTGGTTTGTGTCATCACACTTAGGTCTATTTTTTCATAGTCTAAACTAGTGGTATGATTTATATTTGCCAACATCAAAGAATAGTCAAACAAAAATAGCCTGATTGTCATTCTTGCAGATGATGTTAAATTGAGGTGTTAAATGGATTTTGTTCAGATTAAATATAAACTTCATTGGCTGTACCATTTGTGTGTGGATTCAGGGATGCATGATCATGATTCAAAAGCTGGATTATATGGATAAAAACCTTTGGACTTTTGCATTCACATACCCTAACCTTCATATTTTGTAATAATGATAATAAAAGTTTTTTTTTTAAAATGTATCTTTATTTTAAAAATTCTTTTTTTACCACTTAACGTTTTAACCAGAATTAGTTTGTTTTGGCCACAGATGATTTCTACAGATTACATTTATTGTAATCAGTGATCATTACCCATGTGGGTAAACAATTAACTTTTAATGTGAAGTGATTTAACTTGTTTTCAACAGTTGTTGCGTTTTTTTAAAATTGTGTTTTTTATTTAATGGCCTTTTTGCCTTATTTTTTGTGCTACATTATAGGTAATGCTTTTTTTAATTCATCAAAATTTTATCTAAATTCAAATTTACACTCTCATTTTTAATATACTTTAATATTTATTTTCACAGCTCTGAAGATGACAGTTCAGCTATTCCAGACAAAGGAGATGCTACTCCAGTACAAACAACAGGAGTAACAATCCCTGCCACAACTTCTGCTACTTTAGACAAACTGTCCAGTGCAGCTCCATTTGACCTACAGAGAAGCAGAGGACGAGATAGATTAAAAAAAGGGCAAAAGAAATTTGGACAAAAAAAATTTGAAAAGTGAGTTACTGGCTCAATATTATCTGAAAATATTTATAAAATATTTATGTTTAGTTTAGCATTAATTAAATATTAAATCAATTTTTTAAAAAGGAATGGCTCCTTTGGACGCCACGGTACTACAACTTCAAGTAGAAGTTTGGAAGCTGCCAGATCACAGTCAGAAGCTGCAGCAGCTGCTGCTGCAGCTTCAACAAATTCTACAACACCCTCGATTGCTTCTAGTGCCGGATTAAACAGCACTAGTGGCAGCACTGCTGGACTAAACCCAATTATTGTCAGTGATACAAAAGACATCAGCAGTAACAGGGAGATTAAAGAAAATATTAGAGACTCAGCACTATCCAGACCACATTCAGTTGCTTCTCCCAGCAGTCGGCACAGTGGACTTAAGAAATCACTGTCTCAGTCAAGGTCAGCTAGTCCTAGTCGGTCGCGCTCAAGAGGATCCAAGTCAAGCAGCAGTAGGAGTGATTCATCAGGCACTAGCAGATCTACCTCACCACACAGAAGGTAAGTTATTGATAACAACCTACATGTTTACAAGCAGTTACTAAGGCTTATGGTTAGTACTCATCTAATTTAAATAGTTAGTACTCATCTAATTTAAACTCACTTTAGTGAACAGAACTGTGTTTTCTTTATTGATCATTACTTTTTCAATGGTAATTATTGAATAACAAATTTTGAGAATGTACACTTTCTTTTACAGTACTGCATTCTGTTGCAGTAATTCTCTATTAAATACCCCTATTGACCCTCCAAAGCTTCACACCCTGTAATATGGGGAAAAAATCCAGTCATAACCATTGGCTCTTTCTGAAGTGTTTCTATCTGTGAACCACTGATTATTTTAAACACATTTCTCAATACTTCCTTAGTTTTATGAAAAACAATTTCCTGGATGGTTAATTGTGTAATTAGTTGAGCAAAATTATTGTCTAGTGAAAAGTGGTGCATTGTTTGTTCATCTTAAATGTTAAACATTCAGGCCTTTTCTTGTTTTGTATGAGTTTTTTTAACCATTTCTCATAGGCAGAGAATTCAAAATTCTTACCACTGCTGTTATTTTGATAGCTTAAAATTTTTCATGACATGTTTGAAATTTATTTCCTGTTAAACTCTTTAGTTTTATTACATCTTTAAAAAAGGTTACATTTATGTCAGAGCACTTAAAATGTTTTTCAATTTAAAATTCATACATTTTAAAACATCTTTATAGGCTTAATTTATTTGCTTCTAACATAAGCAGTTACACAAGTTCAACTGCGAGGCCACAATCAATGGTGGGAGCATCAAGACTTGTTAGCAGTGAAGTTAAAGAAGCTAAAAAAGATGAAAATGATGGAGAGAGACGGCCACTAGGGATATGTGTAACTGGACTTCCTATGAGATCTACAGGTAGAATATATTTTCAGTGAAGGGTATTATTTATAAAATTTATTACGGTTTTCATTGGTTTTCTACTTAAAGAGGAATATCAGTTTACAAATAGATATAATAAATTATTGCTTTGTCACAGATTCCAGCCTAAGAGATGGTTTATATCATGAATATAAAAAGCATGGAAAGGTAACCACAGTCCAAATATGTGTTGATGGAGACAGCAGATGTGCTATTGTCAGTTTTAGAAAGTAAGCTTTTTGGTACTAATTTAAATATAATTTTAATAAAAGTTTGTTAGTTACAAAATTTTTAAAAATTATGTCAAAGAATGTACACATAAAGAATAAAATTTGCTGATTTAGACCTGAAGATGCCAGTAAAGCTCTTGAAGCCTCACAAGGAAAAATCTTCTTTGGAGCTAAGATTAAAGTAACATCACATGAAGGTGTTGGTAAGTTGCTCAAGAAATACTTAATTTTATATCCTAAAGCAGTAATCTATAAGTAAATGCCAAAAACTATGAGAAACCTGTATGTCATCAAAACTAAATTGTTTTAATTTTTCATAGTTGCTTGGTGTGCTAAATAATAATTTTAAATTTTTTTTTTATTTACAGAAGTAGATGATGCTGATGTCACAAATGACAATGATAGTTTAGATGAATATCATGTCAAATCTACACGCACACTTTTTGTTGGCAACCTAGAGAAAGAAACCACAACTCAAGATCTCATTGAAAAATTCAAAGCATTTGGAGAAATTATTGTAAGTACATTATTTTATCATTAAAAATGATTTTTTAAATTTTAATCAGCTTTTATTATTTCTAATAATAAATAATATAGTTAATTAAATAAATAATCAGTAGTCTTGTATCTCATGTAGTAAATGTATCTGCAACAGAAAAGGGCAAAATCGTGAACAAATATTTTTCCTAGCATTTCACTTTTAGTCTATTTATACAACATCAAATAACTCTTCCCTCCCAAAATGTTCAGAAATTTATAATTTTGTTGACATTGTACAGGATGTTGACATCAAAAGACAAGGAGCAACAACTGCATTTGCATTTGTCCAGTATGTTGATATAACTAGTGTTGTAGGAGCATTGAGGGCCATGGAAGGAGAGCACATTGGCATTAACAAAATAAAGGTATAAAATTGCGATTTCTCACCATTTATGTTGGGAGTGTTAAGCTAAGACTCAGACATTTTTTTCTGGAATAAAAATTAATGGTTTAAAAATTGCTTTTCTCTATGAAAGCTTGGCTTTGGAAAAAGCATGCCAACATGCTGTGTGTGGGTAGATAACCTCCCTGCTGATATAACAAACCGCACTTTGAGAAGTTCAATGACAAGATATGGAGAAATTACCTACTGCCTGGTGGATAAGAATCGCAACAAAGGTCTTATTTACTTCAATTCTTATGATGATGCCCAACACTGTGTCACAGACATCAAAATGCGCCCACATTTTATGAAGAAAAAACTTCAGGTGAGAATATTGTAAAGCATGTGATAAATCTTATATATTAAAAGGTTTGAACTGTTTAGTTTTTAAAGATTAAGATTAAGCCACCTGCATTTTGTTTTTTTAGATTGACTTTGCCAGCAGAGAATGTCAAACAAATTTTTTGGATCGAATGGAAGAATCTGGTTTGCTTAGAGCTAATGAAAGACCAGATGAGAGCAGAGTCCATAATAAATTCAGACAACAGCGGAGTTTTGATGGGTTTACAGAAGAAGCGTAAGTTAAGAATTTTGAAAATTTCCACTAAGTGGAATTAAAAGATACTTTGAGAAAACTATTGAGTAATTTTTGTAAGTGTGAGTAGGTTGACTGGCTACTAGAGCTTTCAACACCATGTATTTGTATTACAGTAGTCCTTCATCATTTTCATGTAACTCCAGAACTACTGCCAGTTTCTCTGCCCGTAGTAATGGCCGCAGCAGTAGACGAGGAAGACCATTTGTTGAATCAGGGTTCACAGATGAAGCACATACTACACCAAGGCGATCTCGGTATGTTAATTCCTATTGTGAAGAAAATAAATACAATGTAAACACAATTTTTTCAGCTTTGAAAAGAATCTTTAGTCAGAAAGTGACCTCTAATTCCTTGGAAATTTTTAAGTAAACATAAAATTTAAAATTACTCTACCTTTAAATTTCAGAAGGCCAGATGAATTCAGCAATCCTTCAAGTTCCTACTATTCCAGCAAAGGCAGTGGAGAGGATTATGATGCAGTACTTCGAGAATACGGTCACAGCCAGCGTGAACGCAGAGAAAGAGATCTCAGTCCTCGTCATTCATCAGCTGATCGACGTGTTGACGGCCAGTCCCGTAGAAGCTCACGGGATCGTTCATTAGACAGATACGAAGAAAGATCCAAAGACATTTTCAACAATCGAGATGCCAGTCCAAGCAGTGACCACAACTCCTATCATTCTGATACCCGTTATAGATCATCACGAGATGATAAATATTCCACTCGGGATAGATATGAAGATAGAAAATCTGAAGACAAGGACTTCGATCGCCAGAGTAGACCTAGTCGGGCAGCCTCCCCGTTTTTACAGAACCATACCAGCTTACATTCACATTCACCAGATTACAACAGACGAGGTGGTTCTCGCTCCCAGTCTCCTCCCACTCCACTTCAAGAAGAATCTGCTCCAAGATATTTTTCTGATGACTACAAACGGTCTGTGGTCCCAGATGAGGATTATGATTACTTACCTTCTAAACGAAGAGATTCTGATGATGTTATTAAAACTAAAAACTGGTCACTTTTGCCTTCTACAAAGCTTGGTGCAGAAGTGGCAAAAACTGTTGAAAAGTCCAGAAAACGAACTCATGAAGAGTCTGGTCTTTCAGAAGCATCTAAGCTAGATGCTAAGCTGCTAAGGAAGCTAGAAAAATCCTCCACAACCTCTGATGAGAAATTGAAAAGCTTGAACAGAAGTTTAGGAGGGTCAAAGAGCAGAGTTGTAAAAGGGTTAGATCATGCTGGCAGTCCAGGCTCATCTGGTAGTCATGGTGACTCAGAAAATGGGTCTGTGAGTGAAGGTGACTTGCACCACTTGCATCAGGAGAAGAAGCAGCTTCTGCTTGCACTTCAAGGACTGGATGAAGAAGTAGTTGACACCAGTGAACCTGAATCTCTACGTTCTATAGCTAAAATCAGATCGTCTGTGGCCGTAAAAAATGCTTTGAGGGTTTCTGGAAGAATTCATGAGGACAAGAAAAGTGAGGACACTTTGAAAAATGAAGCCCATCGTAAACTTGGGGATAAACCGAGGCGTTTGGATATTAAACGAGAGAATAGAAATAATATAAATGATGATTTCAGTTGTACTCGTGAAGAGAAAGGGCTTTTGGGGGATAAGGAAGAATCTGCTGGTGGCCATAGTGATTCTGATCTTGACATAGACTTGAGGAATAAGAAGAGAAGGACTGATACACGAAGAGATAGTGACTCATTAAAGAACAAGGGTTTCCATAGGCATGAAAGTGTTGAGAGTGAAGATGATGAGCAGAACACTAGGTTATACAACCCTCCACTGGATAGAAGAGCCTCTTGTGATAACAGAACCAATTCTCTGAGCTCTAAATTTTATGAGAACAAACTGCTAGGTGTATCCTCCCCTTGTGATAATGGTGATCCCTTCAAAGGTGGATTAAGTGATAAAGATAATTCTGTGATAAAGAATCGCTACCGTAACTTTCCTAACAAAGATTGGAACTCAGAATCTCCTGAGCACGATGCAGGACCATTGGGGGATTTCAGTCCAGTGTATAGTGAAAACACCAGAGATTCAGTCAATTCTGGAAGTTTAACGGAAAAAAGATCTCCCCCTACGTGGCAGCATTCACTGCCATCTTCACCAATGGATAATGTTGATTCAGACAATGACTATTCAAACATTGTTCCAGACATTGTTCCTGATGATTCATTCTCGGATGACAGTCTTGGCGATCCACATATAGCTGCTGGAGAGGCTTCCATGGAGGAGCGCATTCGTGCACTTGATGAAATGATTAGCAGACAACCAAATAATAAAATTGCAGATCCCTCACTTTTTTTCCCATACACATCCACACGGAACACTAACAATAATGAAAACACTGCAGATTATCCTAAAAAGTACAGAACTCGTAAACGTTTTGATTTGGAGGGTGGGAACGGGAGTGTGCGGACAGACAGTAAGCCTGAACCATCTGTGATCATGCACAAAGTGTTGTCCAAAACTAGTATTCTTGATCAGGATTTTAAAAGGCTGGAGCAGATAAAAGAAATCTATGAACCTAGTAGGGGGAAAGAAGTTATTTTGGATATACCATCTAGTAAACTGTTAGAACCAGGTGTCAAACCATATTTATTTTCTTTGTCACATCCAGTGACCACATCATCATCCATGCTTCAGCCAACCATCACAACATCCTTGGCTAGCTCAGCTTCATTAACTGCTCCAATCAGCACAAGTGTTCTCACAACATCCATCGTGAGTGCACCTATCACAACCAGCTCAATTTCTGTTTCACCCAAAGATGCAGCAGTGGATAATTTACTCAAGGCTGCATCGGAATCCACTGAAATATTGTCGAATAAACATTCTACTTGCACAAATTTATTGACGTTAAAGCAGGATGTATTGCATTCATTTTCATCAGCTAAACCTGTGTTGACATCTCACAATAACAATTCTCTATCATCCAAATCAATTTTTTCCACAACATCTGTGTGTTCATCAGCTCCAGTGTCAGACACTAATTTATTACCTTCCCAGACAATCACCAAATCCTCGTCACATTCTCTCCTCCCGTTATCCCAACAGCCTGTTTCATCCTCTGTATCATGTTCCTCAACCAACTCTCACCCCAAATCAAATTTGCAGCAAAATGTAACATTGCCAGTCACATGCCCGTCATCCACAAAATCACCTGCTGGGGCCCCTGTGGCGGCTCCATTCACTCAGGGACCAGATAAATCACAGCTTACACCAACTGTTGGCCAAGAAGCGCCCCGTCTCTGCTCACCTTCCTTTACTCCAGAAAACTCTAGGACAAGCTCCCACCTGCCAGGGAGTCCAAGAGTTAATGTTGAAAGCAAAGAAACCAATGACCAACTTGTACCTAACAACAAACCTGACTTGACCATTAGTGTCTCGGGTAGCACCAACTTTACTGACGAATCGTCCAAAAGCCAGACATGTTCCAAAAGTGATATCACACCCGATATTGAGTCTCCAGTTTCTGTGAAATCAGAAACCTCAAGTAACTCTTCAGTTCCACTGTCTTCCCTTGATAATAAAAACAGTTCAGCTTTAGAAGAGAAAAGTCTTTTGATCAGTCTTACTGCCAATAATCAGTCATCTAACAATGAACTGCTGGCACAGAAATCTCTTGTTGCTCTAACTCTAGAAAACATGAGCTCAGGAATTAATAAGCTCAGCCCAGTTACCACAATGGATACTGAAGGCGCCATGGACTTAGGTACAGAAACTTCCAGTCTGATAAAAGGTAGTGGAAGAAATGATGCTGCTGATTTCTTGTCTTCTAGGAAACCTGAACTACCAGCTCATGTCACAACACACACTGTTCTCAGTGTCAACAGCAAAGAAGGTTCTGATAAAAAGGAAATCCTGAACCCCCTTGATATCTCCAGCAGTGTGAGAAAAGGTGTTTCATCCTCCATGCCAGAGCTGGACACTCCCCTGCTCAAACCATCACTACCTACCAATGTTACTGCTGCCTCATCCTCATCCACATCAAGGTCAACCTCAGATAGAAATGACAAGAAACCTGGGAAATCCAATTCCCACATCCACTCTAAAAGTCCAGCTAAAGCAGAAGCTCTCTTTGCCCCTGATATGAAGGTGGAACAGCCAGCAAAGCCCAGTGAGAAAACAGATGGCAAGCTGAGCAAAGATTCTCACAAGACATCTAATGTAAGTAAGTCATCTAGTAGTAGTAATGACAGGAAGGTTGCTTCAAAAACTTCATCCAAAGACAGCCATGAAACCAAAGATTCTGGAACTAAAGAGCAAGACAAAGCTGAAAAGAAGTCAGAAACTGTTTCTAAAGGCTCTACACATGAATCTAAAAGTAAAGAAAGTGATAAAAATAAGGTAAAGGACAAGAAAGATAATAAAGAGGGAGAAAAAGTAAAGCAAAAAGAAAAAGATGATAGTAAGAAAAAAGAAGAAAAGAAAGTATCAGACAAAAAGGAAGAAAAGAAATCTTTCTCTATTAAAGAAGATAAAAAGTCAGACTCAAAGATGGATGAGAAAAAGGATAAAAGTAATGAGAAAGACAAGTCTAGGGAAAGTAGTAAGCAAAATATTTTGAAAAAAGTGAAACAAGAAGTTGATCCAACTAAAAAGGACAAGAAACAAAAACCTAAGGAGTCTTCAGGGAAAGAGAAGGTGTCAGAGAAGAAAGCTGTTCCCAATTTAGCTAAACAATCCAATCCACCCAGAGAGAAAGTTGAAACTAAAGATTCAAAGTTGACCAAAAGTGATTCCAAGGAGTCAACATCCAAAGATTCAACCAAGTCTGAACAGCTGTCTAAAACTGATCAAAAAGCCCCATCAAAGCCAGACAAACACAAAACTGGTGAGGCAAAGTCACTGTCTAGGACCTCCTCTGAAACAAAGCCAGACACTAAAGACAGTTCATCTGCTAGTCTGAGTAAAAAACCTACTTCTGATGCTGGCAAAATTAAAAAAGAGGGTGAAAAGGATTCAACAAAGCAGTCCTCAATCAAGCAAGATAAATCACTCAAGCATAAATCAAAAGAAGAGGACAGACAAAAAGAAAAACAGAAAATTCGAGAAGAAAAAGAAAAACAAAGAGAGGATAAACTAAAGGAAGAAAAGGAAAAACAAAAAGAAGAAATGGAAAAACGAAAAGAAGAAAAGGAAAAACAAAAAGAAGAAAAAGAAAAATTAAAGGAAGAAAAGGAAAAATTGAGGGAGGAAAGAGAAAAACAAAGAGAAGAAAAGGAGAAAGAAGAAAGGGAACAAAAAGAAAGAGAAGAAAAAGAAAGGCAAAAGGAAAGAGAAGAAAAAGAAAGAAAAGAAAGGGAAGAACAGGAAAGGAAAGAACAGGAAAGGAAAGAAAGAGAAGAGAAAGAGCGATTAAGGAAAGAAAAAGAAGAAAAGGAGCGTCAGAAAGAGAGGGAAAGGGAAGAAAGGGAAAGAAAAGAAGAAAAATTAAGGAAGGAGAGAGAAGAAAAAGAACTACAGAAGCAAAAAGAAAGGGATGCACAAAAAGAGAAAGAAAAATTAGAAAAAGAAAGAAAAGAGAAAGAAGAGAAGGAAAGACTTAAAGAAAAGGAAGAGAAAGAAAAACAAAAGGAAGACCTTGAAAAAGCAGAAAAAGACAAACAAAAAGAAAGAGAGAGAAAGGAGAAAGAACGGAAAGAAAAAGAGAAAAGGGAAAAGAGAGAGAAAGAAAAGAAAGCTAAAGAAGAAAAACTGAAGAAAGAAAAAGAAGAAAAGGCAAAAAAGGAAAAAGAGGAAAAGTCTAAACGTGAAGAAAAGGAAAAGGCAAAGAAAGAAAAGGCTGAGAAAAAAGAGAAAGAAAAACAGAAAAATGATAAGGATGAAGACGATGATGATGATGAAAAGGATAAGGAAAGAAAAAAGCCACCTCCAAAAAAGCCCAAACGAAATGAACTTGCAGTTTTACTTGATAGCAATGACAGATTTCAAATGACATTTACTTCAATGTATGATCGTGTCAAAACTCAAAGGAATAGAGAACCTGAAATGCAGCACAAATCTGAGCCTGCACCTAAATCTTCCTTTGATAAATTCAAACAAAACCGCAAGAAGAATGGAAGTAAAGCAAAGTCCTCATTGTATTCTTTTGGAAGTACTTCAGAATTAAGTGATGACAGTGACCTCTCTCTGTCAGAGTCTAGTCAGAAAGCTGATTCTGTTAAAGATTCAAAACCCAAAAAAACAAATCAGATAAAGAAAAGACCGCATGTTTCCTCTTCATCATCATCATCATCTTGTGAGGAAGACGATGTCGCCCTTCTCACTGCTTCAAAACTCAAAAGCAAGAAGCTCAGTGATATTTTCTCTTCTGATTCTGAAGAGGACAATTTCCAACCACCCTCCAAATCTAAAACCTCCAAGTCTAAGACAAAGCCTGCTCCAAAACGCAGGAAAACCAGAGATGATTCTACCGATTCTATGGCTTCTAGGGATGAGTTTGTCAAGCCGCATGCTATCAGTGGAACTCATGATCTTGACAGCTTGGATGATATTGATATGTCAGATGAAGAAGACATTCCTAAAAAATCCAAGAAAAAATCCACAAAGTTAGTAAAAAAGGCAGAACATGAAAAAAGAGACTCATCTGTTGAGTCTGTGTCTAAAAAACCTGTCAAAAAGGAACGCGAGTCCTCTGTGGAATCTGTTTCTAAAAAGTCAGTCAAATCTGAAAAGGAAAGTACTCCAATAAAAAAGTTGAAGCCAGATTCCAAGAAAACCACTAAGCATGAAGGAAGCACAGAGGCCAAATCAGCTGTTAAAGATACTGTAAAAGCTGGTGCTGAAGATAAAAAGAAAGGAAAGATTTCTATTGATAAAGAGAAAAAAAAAGATTTGGTGAACAAGAAAGAAACTAGTAAGAAAGATACCGATAACAAGAAAATAGTAGAAAGTCGAAAAGAAATAGATAATAAAAAAGAGCATGAAAGTACCAAAAAAGATAGTGACAACAAGAAAGAAGTTGACAAAAAGGATGCTGAAATTAAAAAGGAAACAGACAGGAAAGAAATTGAGAGTAAAAAGGATTCAAGCAAAAAAGAATTGGATGTAAAAAAGGAATCAGAATTTAAAAGAGAGCCAGAGAGTAAAAAAGATTCAGATAGAAAGGACCTGGAAGCAGACAAAGTGAAATCCAAAGAGAAAGTAATAGATGATGTGGCCAAAAAACATGCAGAGGAAAGAAAGAAGAAAAAAGACAAAGATGATGGTCCTGTGAAGAAAAAGAAGAAAAAGAAGTATGATCCCAAAGAGGAAGAAGAAAAAGTAAATTCTTTAATAACCAAAGTCTACGATAAAGCACTAGAAAAAGAAAAGAAACAGAAAAAACAAAAGATCAACTTGCTGGACAGTGACAGTGATCTAGGCCTCTCTGATGTTGGTTTAACTGTGGCTGATGAAGTCATGCCATTGAAAGATAAACTTGAGCTTGAAATTCATAAACCAAAAGAAAAGAAAAAAGAAAGCAGCAAAGAAAAGGACATTACCCATAAAGAAATTGTTGTAGAAAAGGACAGTTCCAAAGATTCCAAACATTCAACCAAAGAATCCAAAGTACCTAGTGACACATTGAAGAAAGCTGAATTTAAGAGGAAAGAGGAAAAAGAAATGCTTCATGAAATACTCCCTGAAAAGGCTATAGACTCCCATAAGAGGGATAAGGTAGAAAAGAAAGACAAGACAGAGCTAATCACTGAAATAAAACCTGTGTCTGAAATAAAAGCAGAGAATATCCTAGACGAAGTTCACAGTAAACCTCCAAAGAAAAAGAAGAAAAAGAAAGAACATGAGAAAGACTCTGAAAGGGAAAAAGAGAAGTCTAGTAAATCTTCAAAGAAGGAACACAAAGCAGATTCTGAGAAAAAAGGTGTTGATGGTGAGAAAAAATCTAGCTCTTCTTGTGAGGAAAACAGCATTGGCTCCTCCCAAGTAGTTGATGAGTTTGTGAGCTTTTGGGGTCACCCTAAACCCATTTTAATTCCTAAAAGATTGAAGGATACCACAAAAACGGATGATGAAAAATCAAAGGGTAAAGACAGTGAAGCTAAAGCTGATGGTGACAAGCCAGAAACTAAAGTCAAAGAGATCTCAGATGTGAAAGAGGAAAAGATGAGTACTGAAACAAAAGAAGAACTGTCTACTGCTGATAAGCTGCCCAAGCTGGAACCAGAGATGAGTGATGAAGTTGTTGTCCCAATATCTGAAGCAGAAACCACAGTAGTGACTGAGCATGTACAAAACTCCTTTAGTGATTCCTTTGCTCAGCTTGTAGGTTCTGGACATTCTGATGAACACCCACCTGCTTCAAATGATGGTATTTCTGACCTTCCTGATGAGACCACCATTGGTTCTTCTGTTGAAATCCATGATGATGATGATTACCCTTTATTAGTCATTGATGAGGTCTCTGAAACTGTATCAGATGAGAAGAAAAAGATGACAAAAAAGGAGAAAAGGCTGCTCAAACAGCAGCAAGATAAAAAGCTACTCAAGCAACAGCTAGAAAAGGAGAGAAGCAATCGCATGGATGAAGTTATTGCTTTTGTTGCCAATGCTGGAACCAGTGATGATGAAGAGGTAACATCATGCAACCCTGTCCTCGTGATAGACTCTGTAAGCAATGACCAAGAACTTGACCTTTCAGATGTCATCAACCAGGAGCTCAAGTATGACAACAAACTGTCCAATGATTCTGAAAAACAGTTGGTTATTTCAGACATTGTGTTTACTGACAAGGAGAAGAAAAAAGCAAACAGTGAATCAGTCTCTGCTTTTAGTTGCATAAGCAAAGAGAAGAGGGATATAAAACCATTGTTTAGTCCATCACCAAAAACAGAATCTGATGAAATCAAATCCAGTCACATCAGTGCCATCCTTGATGACTCTAAGAAAGATGATGACCCATTCAAGGCTATTGCTGGAATCTTGGATGTCTCAGAGCACCATTCACCTGAGCCACCAAAACTCACTGAAGAGGAGTTAAAAAGAAAAGAAGAGGAGGAAAGAAAAATTGCTGAAGAGGAAAAAAGGAAAGCTGAAGAAGAAAGAAAAATTGCTGAGGAAGAAAAACGTAAAGCAGAAGAGGAAAGAAAGAGAAAAGAGGAGGAAGAAAAAGCCAGACAAGAGAAGGAAGCATCAGATGAGGCAGCCAGAGCAGTGGAGTCACTGTTAGTGTTTCAGAGTGTGTATGAAGCACCCATTGATTTAGATGATGATATTCCTGCAATATCCCCTCCAGAAAGAGAAACCCCATCAGAATCAAATTTATTACCTCCAACAGAAACTATTGTATTATCACCAACAAAAGAGAAATCAGAAGCTGTCTCCATGTTTTCAGACACAATTCCAGAAAAGCTTACAGCAAATCTAGATGACAAGCTGCTAGAAAATAAATCCCTTGAAAAGGGGGAACAGGGAGAAAACAAGCTTGATGCCTTTAGTTTTTTCACCACGCCACACCAGGCACCTGGGTTTACATCTCCCAGGAGAAACTCAGTTGGCATCTCAAAAGATAAAACCCCTGAACCCATAACTTTGCCATCTCCACAAAGACAAATTGCACAATCGCCACAGATACCATCCCCTCAAAGACAGATGCAGTCGCCACAAAGGCAAATGCAATCTCCACAAAGGCAGATGCAGTCACCGCAACACATTCAGTCACCTCAGAGGCACTTGCAGTCACCCCAACATCCAGTGCAATCCCCACTCAGACCCATGCAGTCGCCACAAATTGGACTACCATCACCACTTCAGTCACCACAGCGATCACCATTTTTTAACAAAGATTCCAAAATGGATAGAAGTCTGATGTCTCCAAATAGAGATGGGTTGTTTGTTGCCCAGGATATAGAGAGCCCAGCACAGCAACCCCATAGGAGACCATCTGGAGGTATACCTGTCCTTCAAGAGCAGACACATGATACATTATCTTCCTCTCGCAGAAAATCCCAAGAATTTCCCCAAGAACATAACTTTCATTCGCCACGTAGAAATACTATAACGACTTTAGAAGAGCCAGCCCATTTAGAACATAGGTTTGCATCCCACCAGGGACCAAGTGTTATATACTCTAAAGAACGCCCATTGCCACAGTCTTCATTGCCTCCTCCTGTTTCGATTTCTCTTGACAATGCCCCACATGATAAAAACTTCCAGACTCCAGTGCGCAGTTTAACTATACCATCGCATCAGGAAAATATGCTGTTATCACCAAAGAAAATTTCACCTGGAGCTCCATTTAAAGATCTTGCATCTGATGCAGTTTTATTTCAACCATCAATTAACAAAGGCCCACTTCAGGATCAGTTATTTCCATCTCCAAAAGTTTTGCATGATCAAGTTTATGGCCACCAGAAACCTCCAATTCAGGACCAACTGTTCCTTGTGGGGAAAGGACCTGTGCATGATATTTTCAAGTCTGGATCAGCTGAACAGCAACCTTTCTTTGGAAAAGGGCTTGGTCCAGAGAAACCATCAATTGCTGCAGCTAACCAACTTTTTGCCTTTCCAAAAGGTATACAACAAGAGCCAATGTTCCCTCAGTCTAAAGCTGTGTCACTTGCACATGATAGAATTGAAAGAGAGCCTATGTTTTCACCCAAAGGACCCTTGGAAAGTTCTTACTACCCTCCAGAACAAAACATTGACTTTTTGTTAAATTCTCCCCCTAGAAATCCTGACTACTTAAATTACAATCACAATTCTGAAATGCCCAAATCTGGCATAACCAAACCAGTGGAATCTCATGAGGCTTATAACAAAGATCCGTTATTTATTGCTGTGGAGAATTCCAGATCTGCTGATAGAGATATACCACAGCCCAGAAGAGTTGAAGGATTCCCAGCTTCATTTTATCAGGAACCAGTACCTGTAGCACAATCTAAAGTATTTCCTCCTGACAGCTTACAGCAAAGTGAAGAAGACAAGAAGGGCACCAGGAAGAGAAAGAGGAATAACAAAAAGGCAACAAAAGAAGACAGAGCTGCTGTCTTGGCTGAACAGGCTATTGAGGAAAGTGTCCAGGCTAATGTTGAAACCATCCACAAAATCCTCAATGCTAAAAAATCTGTGGATGCTTATGACTTTGAAGCTCATGCAGGGCAAGAACAGCTAGGAAGGCCCAATGTTTCAGTGGCAGAAACTCACCCATTTGGAGAAGAAATTAGGCAGGTGAAAACTCGTGGAGATAAAGGAAGAGGTAGAGGAAATGGTAGCAGAAGAGGAAGAAGAGGGAGAGGTGCTTTATCATCAGTTCATGAAACCCATGATTCTGTACAAAGGCATGATACATATTCACATCAACAGAATTCCTCCCTGCCTCCCTCTGCACACTTCCCAATACAAAGCCCTGAACAATCCCAGCCAAAGCATCCTTATCTTCCATATCCTTTTTCATCACCACAGCAACATTCACCATTTAATCGGCAAAATTCTCAACCAAATATTAACCATCAGGTGACACCCTATTTCTCACCATCTCAACCTTCATCAGTTTCTGACAATAGTGGATCTAATTTGTCTGTGGGTGATTGGCATCACAAGTCAATTCCTCATCATCCTGAATCACAGCCACACCAGCAGTTATTCCCACAATCACTTCAGCAACCCCCAATACAACAAATTAAGCCACCGCCAAAGAGTGATGTATCTAGTCCAGAGCCCAGCAAACTAGATTTGGATTCTTCATTTGGCGAGTCGGACTTGGTAATCAACCTGGATGACCAGCCATCCAGCATTGAAGGAAAAGAAAACCAATACAGTTTAAGTGATGGTGAGGTTCCCTCCCCAGCCACCCCCAAGAACCAAAGGTCAACCAGAGCAAGGAAGCAACCTAACTACAAAGCTATAGCATCTGGAAATGTACCTGCCCAGCCCCAGCCACGCACAGCTAGATCTGGCGGCTCACCTAGAGGCAGGGGTTCAGGAGCACAGTCACCAAAAAATAGTATGTCACCTAGGACGCGCAGCTCTGAAAATGTTTCTGCTTCTCCTGTTGTCAAGTTAGAGAAACTAGAAGTAACTCGCACTACCAGGAGTAAAAAAGAATCTGCTGGTAACAGAAGCATCAAAGATGACACCAATGAAGAGGTTGGCCCAAACACTAGTTTTGAGGAATGGAAAGCTAAAAAAGGAGATGAAAGCAAAGCAGTATCTAAAGAAAATATTTATGAATTTGTGGACAATGAACAAGATCGTGTTGAACCCAGTTTGAGAACAACACGAGGCAGAAAGAAACGTGGATCTGATGCCCAGGAAGCTCAGTCTCAGTATGTGGATTACACTCTGAATTCTCCCACATCTTCCTCAAACTCAAGTGCTTTGCCAGAGTCTAAACCAGGAAATGATCAGCCAATGTTTGAACCCAGATTGGAGGAGGGTAACAAAACTACTCCTCTTAGTCATGTTGATGCTGTCATTGATGCTGTGTCTAAAGGCAAATTTGGGTCAGGTGATGAAGACACAACCCTTGACATTCCAGTCTCAGTCCCTTCAGATCCAGGTAATTTGATATTTTATTTTGTATCATTCGACATTATTATGTTTGGCATTACTTTAGTCAGTTTTAAAAACTCAATTAAAAATATAAAAACATGTTTACATTTTGATTTTTTCCCCTCCTCACAGTATCCACTCCATCACCCATCTCTGCTCCACCACCTACGCGCTCAAGCCGCCGTTCTACAGAAGCTAAGAGAGAGGCAGAACAGAAAGAAAAGACAACCTTTACTATTGCTGAACCACCTCGGTTTGAGGCTAGAGAACTTGGCAAGAAAGGGCCTACTGTTCCACCTTTAAGAATTAAAGTGGCTCACAGTACACAAAAAGTTGAGAAGAATGAGGAAAAGCATTATGTCATCGAGCGTGCTAACAAAAATATCATTCCTACTTCAGAGAATAGTGAAAAACCTCCTTTGGCTTTTACTGTGAAGCTCTCAGATACAGGAACAGCTACCATTAAGCCTGCGGGCCCAGGCAATGGGCTGTCATCAGTGCAAAATGCTGCACCCATTGGAAAGAACCAGTTGGATAAAAATCATTTAGGCTTATTTTCTGGATTACCACAAAATGATAATCTTCAACCCAACAGTGATAATGACTTTGGAAAATCCATAAATACTCAAGTGTCCTGGAAACCAGGGGAATTAACTCCAGTTGATGGTGTTATAACAAGACCTTCTGGAGCACTGCACCCCAAAGTTGCTGCTAAAGTTCAAGCCTCACAGGAATCTCAAAATACTGTTCCACCAGTGCCAGCTTTAGTACAGACAACTTTGCCACAGCAGTCAACTTTGCCATCAGCTAATACAGCCATGCCAGTCTTCTCAAAATCTTCACCCAGTCCTATTCTTAGTGGAAATACTTGGACACTGAACATGTCAGGTGGTACCCCAGGACAGCCTGTCAACAGTTCTCTGATGCCCATGCATAGCACCTCACCTTTAGCAAAAGATGGGGGTCTCATGCTGCAGCGTCCTCCTAGTGCTCATGATATTGCTAAACGACCTCCTAGTGCTCATATTCAAGCTGCTGTTCGGAATGAAAGGCAAGGTAAAGGCAAGCATGGATCTTTGGAGATGAATCAAGAAATGGCACAGAAGATTCAGTCTGACACAGACAAACTTCCAGAGGCAAGTATTTATTTTATTTGTATTAAAGAAACCTATTGGTATGGTTTTTTGATAGCATAAACCATCTAAAGGTGGATGTACACATTCAAATTTCTTATTTAGGTAACAGTTTCTATGCAATCATTGAACTTAGATTTGTCATTACATGTCTAGAAAAAACAAGTGTAAAAAAAATGTATGATGCAAAAAGTAATTAATTTATATTGATTTGACAGGGCCCATATGGTTTCCCATCACATGTGCCACCTGCGCATATGGCACAGAGGTTCTTGATGTCCCAGGAGCAAAATTTACCATCAGCTCATCATCCAATGCACTTTTCAACCAGTGCTGCCTTTAAGGCCAACTTGGAAACTCGCAACTCCAAGTCTCCATCTATCCAGTCACAATCTGCTGTGAAACACGTGGCAGATTTAGGAATCCGCACACCACCAGTCACATCTGCAGCCATAATGTATGCTGCTGGTGTAGCAGGGCAACCTCATTCACTTTCACCAACTTCAGCAAGCCCAGAAGGACAGGTATACAGATTTATTAGTTAAAAGCCATTTAAAATTTTTCACTTGTTAATTACAGAGAGGCTACTAAGTTTTTAAATATCAATCATTTACAGGATTTTAGAGTTAGGAGTTGTGTCATTAAGAATAAACTATTTTTCTGATAACCACCAGGGACCATATTGTAAAACGTGTATTTCCAAAAATCCACAGGTCATTGAAAGACTTCCAAATCCCTTGCGATCTCAGGTTGAGGCTGTAAGACAATCCTCCTCTCCAATGGGGATTCGCATGCATCCAGATGCTAGGTTCATGAAAGGTAACATTAATTTATTTCTAGGAGTAATATTATTGTCACTACCATTTACCATTCATTACTACAGTTATTAGAGGTTTTAATATATAGTATGTTAGGTAAAAATTTAACAGCTTTTTTTTTTGTTTTGTTATAGAAGAACTTGAGAGTGCAATAGCTTCCTCTGTTGGTGACAGAGCACCTTCAAGAGAAATGATGTTTAGGTTTCAGCAACAAATTTTGATGGCTCAAGAAGCTGCTCGAAATGCTACTGAAAACAGAAATGCTGGTCAAGATCCAAGTAGGAGTGTAGAGGCAAGGAATTTAGCCCTAAGAACTGCACATGAGCAATCTCGTAATACTCCTGTTGGTCATGATGGAGGCAGGAAAGTCACTATACCATCATCCCAACCAGGCAGTCATAATCAGCCACTCAATCTAGCTGATTCTGATACACGCAGTGGAGATTCTTCTAGGGTGACACCAAAGTCAACACCACCAGCTCCTCAAAGTCCTTTCCCCATGTCATACTTGGAGCCTGGACGTATTCCACCAGGAGTTGCCAGCGCTTTCATGCAACCAAGTCCAAGTGGTCACAGAGAAGGATTACCTGCACATTTATATCCAGATCTTCCACTTGGAATGGCTTCACATCCTCAGTTTGGAATGGGTGTAAGGCTGTCTATTGACCCTAGAGGTGTTTATGCACCAGGCCACCAACCACCATCACATCTCATCAGAGAAGGTGTCATTGGTCACTTTTCTGGAGCTTTTGCACCCAGCCCACGTTTCCCTGTTATGGAAGCCTATCCAGAGAACAAGGAGTCAGGACATCCTGAACAGGTGACAAATAGAGGCATGTTGCGCTCACCCTCACCAAGCCCCATTCTGAACAGACAAGCTGAGCTACTAATGAAACAGCAGCTCACTCGCATGCCCTGTGACCTACCTACTAATAGCCCAGTTGGAATATTACAGGTAAGTGTAGACATTTTTACCTGAATTATTTTTAAATTTATTTATAATTTAATATCAATAAAAGGTTTAATATTCAGCCATTGTTCTAATGAAGTGCTATTTTCTCCTTAGCATTATCCTGTTATGTGGCAAGGTGCTCTGGCCTTGAAAAATGACAATAGCTATGTACAGATGCATTTTGTGGCTGGCAACAGGCGCTTACCCAACCTAGCCCTTCCACAACCAATGCAGAATGGAGCCTTGCCTCCACTTCGTATTTCTCAAAGGATGAGACTAGAGCAAGCCCAGTTGGAAGGAGTGGCCAAACGAATGCAGGTATATTGGGATTTGATTTAATTATAGCAATGTGTGGGCAGTATAATTTTAGTGACCATTCGTCAATAGCTAGAAATCTTTTTTTTTACCAAAAATTGTCCACAAAATCCTATAGTTATTTAATGTTAATTTAATATATTTCTTTTCCTAGTGTGAGGATGATTACTGCATCTTGATTGCCATTGCTTGTGGACGAGATCAATCTGACATAGACATCCAGACTAAAGCACTTAATGATGGATTTATCAAATATCTTTTGCAAAAGCAGGCTGCTGGCATTGTAAATGTACCTCTTCCTGGATCTGAGCAGGTGAGTGAATAAATTACTGAATTTATAAAACTATTTACACTTACATGTCCTAATAACATTTCCAAAATATTTGTGTACAATATTTGTCCTCATTAGAAACAAGTGTCACCTGTTACTAACAAGTAATTTGAAAATTTCAGGCTGGTTTTGTGGTCCACATCTTCCCACCTTGTGAATTTGTTGACTCATCTGTGGCGCAACAAGGAAGCTTAGCCCTCATGCAACAGTTGAGTATAGTACCACATGCTGTCATCATCATTGCCACAACATGAAATGAGGCTAAGTCTGGAACTATTTGAAACCTGCTTGACAGAATCAAGGTGGAAGAATCTGCACCAATACAGTTCACTTCACCAATTCTTTCTAGATACCCACTGGACTACTCAAAATCTGAACTAAATTCATGTTATTTTGAGCCTATCAAATAACATCAAATAATTTGAGAGAAATGAGTTTGACATATTCCTATAAGTGGACACTCCATTTACACCACACTAATGGAGTAAAAAAAGAGATGAGAATTTAAACCCTGAACATACAAGTTGTTTTGAACAAGTTATAGACAATTTTTAGACAGATGTGTATACATTTTCATTGGAAACTGTCATCAATACGAATTATTTTCCTGGAGCATTACAATCTATTTGGATAAAGTAGTTTAAAAAGAATAAAACCTGGTTTTACAGAAAAAACATTTAAAGTTACATTAATCTTAATATCTAATTAAGAAAGGTTAAAAAATGTACACAATTGTCAGATTGGACAGAAAAATAAAAGAAATGCTACTTCCCTGGAGTTGGCATTTTGACCTCTAATGAGGTTCCTGGCTTAGACAGAACATGTTGGTCAAAACCCCTTTCTAATTTATCTGTTACCTATTTGTTTATCCCAACTGAATTTTTGGCAGGAATTATGTTGTGGGTTCTCAAACAAAGGTACAGAACTGATCATTCATCTTCATTGCTATCTTATCACCTCATTTTTAATTATTGTGATCATTTATCCTTTTCTGTCAATTCTTGTGTTTCCATATCATTACCAAATTGTTTTACATGTGTAATTATGTATGTTAATATTATTGAAACATGCATAGAACTGCTTCTTAATTTGTTGAAGAACTATCAGTGCTAATAGGGTGGACAATTTAAAAGAGAATGTTGATGTTAAATTAAAAAACTCTTGATTCTTCTCTAATTGAAATGAGCAGGTTAAACCTCAGGAATATAGTGTTTCTACAAGAGTGAATTGAACAGTAGATTGTAATGTAAACATTCTAACATAAGACACATCTATTTTAACCATTTTTGACTGTTTTATGATGCTTGAATTAACAGTGCTGTAAATAAAAAAAAATGTAGTTGTAAATTGTATATGGACTTAAAAATGGCCAACACTTTTAGTTCTCTAAGTTGGTCTTTGAAGTTTTCATTGTAAGATTTATAAAAAGAAATATATTTGTTTTTTTGCTTTATATGTAAATATTTGCTAGAATATATTGTACAGATATAAAGCCCTTTTCCCTAACCCAGCTTTTTCATTGCTGTAGCATACATGTACATACAAGATTGATATACAAATCTTCATACATCTAAGTTGTTTATTTTATATATATATATTATATATATGTTAATTTTCATCCCAGATTGCGGGAGCAGGCTCTCTTTCATTTAGAGAGCTCCATTTTTAATTCTGCTGATGTTCATAACATTTTTTTTTTGGTCTAATTCTTCATCTTATAAAATAGTCATCGTTACTACTATCAGGTCTTCTTCACTGTTGTCTTTCTGGTCGTCGTCAATGTGGTTCTGAGTATTGTGGTTGTCACTCATTCATCTGTATCACTGGTCTCATGCTTGTGTTATTCATCCTATTGTCATACCTCCACTATTTATTTCTTTAGAATCTTAAATGTCTTGGTCTAGCCATTGAGATTCTAGGAAGGAAAAAATACATCCTCCAAACTCTTGTTTTCTTCCTGGAAAGATAGAGATTTATTTTTTATGTTGCTGATATACAATCTGTGACTGATCATTAGTTGTCATTGATTGTTATTGTAGATCATTCATGACTGTTGTTTGTTTATAAGTCAATCTTGAGAAAAATAAAATTTAAAGAATATTACCAAATAATGTGAACTTATTGATTTTTGTGGTTACTCTGTATTACACCAGTATTTACATCCCTAGTTAATTGCTGCAGTAGGTATAAGAAAATCTAAAAGAATTGACAGGAGAGAACAAACATATACTTGTTATAAAAAAATGAGAATATTTTTTGAGAAGCTGAGACAAAAAATTCAGTAAAAGGATGTATTATAAACTTGCAGTCATGAGATATGCAACACATGGTTTGGAAGAATCAGTTGACCATTTATTTCAGATAATTTCAATAGTTATAATTCACTTTTCCACATGTTCATATTTCCTGTCTTAACTAGTTAGATGGCTTAGTTTGAAGGATTTTAAAATTATTACTAAAGGCAGCAATTACAATTTGTAAAAGAGTGATTGATTGTAGTATGACTGAAAGGTGTGACAGTAATTAGGTAAATCGTAGACATTCAAAGCTAGCAAAATTGTGTCTTCTAGAATTTGAAGAATAATTTAAAGAGCATTGGGGAAAAAAACTACCTGCTCACAAAGTATTTTTAGAGAGATTTTAACTTTAATGAGTAAAATTGATGTTTCTACAACAAAAAAACTAGCTTTATCAAGATTTCTTTCAATGTCTTGACAAATTACTTGACCAAAAATTTGGCAATTACTAGCCCTAAAGCTCACAAGTAGTGAATAAAACTTGAAAGATTGTTTACTGCCAGTGTTTGACTGAGTTCTTGTTGACTTGTGATGATCTCAAGCATGAATGCTTGTCATTTAGTAAATTTTTTTTTCTCTGGAAATTATTTGCATCGTGTACGTCTGTCATTAAAGGATTATCAATCATTTAATTTATTCAAACAGAAGGAAGCTCAAAATTTTAATTCAACACATTTTACCGTTAATGGTTGAGGTAAAAGGAAATATAAAAATGAAGCTTGATGTTCCTTTTCATCCAGTAAAGTGAGCATAAACGTCATGTTTATTAGACATTGATACCTTTTAAAGCTCTTTTGTATATTGCAGTATGAAAAATTATACTATCATAAATGAACATGAAATGAACACTTGTCTCTTTACATACAAATTATACTTCCATTTTGAAAATTGAAACATTGAGAATATACTTTGTAATGATAAAAAAATTAAGAAATAATAAATTAACGGTAAACTGACATATTAGTCTGTAGTGTGAGTTGAAAAATTGAGCTTTCTTCAAAACCTGTATTTAAAACTGTAAATATACGCCATATAAATAAAATATTTGCTCAACGGGTCACACTTAAGTGTGGAAATTTTCATGCTTGATAATTTGTGTTAAAACAAATTGTTTGTTTCAATCTTGTTTAGAAACTATCGTTGTGTCCGTAAAATTATTATAAATTTATATATTTTGAAAAAATAAATGAACTGGTTACGCTATATGTAATACCTCATAACTTGTCCAAAAATACCACTGGCTGTTACTTCATTAATTAAATTATTTCACATTTTACAGGGTGGATTTGTTTAATGAAACATTAACAAATACCACATGAAATTGGTTTGATGATTGGTCAGCTTATTAGGACATCATTAAAATGTCTCTGTATGTCTTGTGGTATGTCGTAGATCTAGTATATTCTCAAGACTTTTTTTTAATTATTTGGAAAGCATTTTATGTCAGTGGCTAAGTATAGTGGGGGTTTAATTTTTAATTTTTACTTTTTACTATTTACTTTAAATAAAAATTTAAAAACACCCCACATTTTATAGAAGAAAATTAATGCAATGTTGTTTTGATTTAAAAGCATTTTGTTAAAAAAATACCTTAAATATTTTTACAATAGTTATTGGCTGGTTGATATCTTTTCTTTAACACTAAGATTCTGTTGTTATTGCTTAAGAAATGGTGGGTGATTTTGTTTCTTCAAGGCTATGGAGCTACACACAATATGATATTAATTGTAATACACATTATATCTACTATTTTCTTTTACAACAAACAAAAATTACATTGTGTTTATTAGTAAAGAAAAGTCCCAGAGTATTTGAAGATGCCAGTTCAAATATCTTTGTTCTTCCTAAACGTGTATGCACATATTTGTACGGACAACAGTGTACCACATATGCTCTGTTGAAACACAGACACTTCAATGACACTACCAAGTGTAGTTATGACTCTAGGCAGTTGCCTCTGGTGACACTGTACAACTCTAGTTAGTTGCTTCTGTTGACACTATGCAAGATAGTGTTACATGTGTTGGTTGCTGCTAGATCAAGATACCATTAATCTCTTGAGTTTGTACCTTCACCAGTTAAAAACTAGTTTTTATAGACTTAAATAAATGAACAAGGGGGATAACAATGTAATTGATCATTCCATTTTGTTTAAAACAATTTTTATCTCCCATTAATTATAACCTTAAATCATTTTTCTAATTATTAATATTTTTTAAAAGTAGCATGTTTTTTTCTCTCTAATTTTCAAAATTTTTGACTTGGGTTTAAATATATAAATTTTAAACACTCACTTGAATCAGCTGACATTTTATTATTTATTACACATAGCTAACAATTGCTTTTCAATAATATTTGGCACAAACAATTTTTCACTCAGTTTATGTGACTAATAACCAGATAATGTATCAGTTATTAATTACCAAAGCTATAAAAAAATTATTTTTGGTGCAATTATTTAAAGAGGTGTATTTGTTTTCTTAAACTTAAAGAGGTGATTCCTTTTAAAAATATTTTTTCCCTTCCTATATTGTAATGTACCCTTGATGATACTTTGTAAAAAAAAAACCTCTCAAAATGTCTCACATGCTTGCTATATTTAATGCTGTCCAAAAACTTTTTCAAAAAGATAAAAAAAAATACTGGAAAATGTTTCTATGAACTTGTGATTGTATGGTACATATTGAAAGACTGAGACCTAGCCATCCATATACATGTACGTAGGACAGGAGTTTGTACACAATTTGTTTATGCTCAGCTCATGTGATATGTTCAATGTGGAATAAACTTATATGATTAACTTAATTTGTAATTTCATTCTTAATGAGTATTGTTGTTAGAATGTGATTAAGAAGGGCAATTCCTTTTTAATAAATCATTTACAAAATGTAAAGGAGATATTGGCTGGAGTTAGTCCCTTATCAACAGTAGTCACTAGTCAGTCTACCAACTGTAGTCAGTCTACCAACTGTAGTCAGTCTAGTCTACCAACTGTAGTCAGTCTACCAACTGTAGTCACTAGTCAGTCTACCAACTGTAGTCAGTCTACCAACTGTAGTCAGTCTACCAACTGTAGTCAGTCTACCAACTGTAGTCAGTCTACCAACTGTAGTCAGTCTACCAACTGTAGTCAGTCTACCAACTGTAGTCAATCTACCAACTGTAGTCAGTCTACCAACTGTAGTCAGTCTACCAACTGTAGTCAGTCTACCAACTGTAGTCAGTCTACCAACTGTAGTCACTAGTCAGTCTACTAACTGTAGTCAGTCTACCAACTGTAGTCAGTCTACCGTAATGTTCATAGATTCTAGGTGCCCAAAAACCTGTAGTGAGTGATATGTCATTTAAATACTAGATCTAGTAAATAGTAAATAAAATAGATATTCAACTAGATCTAGATCTAATCTACAACGGGTCCTTGAGTAGGTTTAGTTACTTACTGTTTATTTAAATCAGGAAGTAACATCTCAAGACGCAAGAGCTTGAAAACAACAAAAGTGATGAAAAGTGGGAAGTCGTGGCGTTTTTTTTCCCGTAGATCTAGATTTTTTTCTCGTAAATGAATGCGTTTTCACCTGCCTACTACCCTGGTTTCTAGTGGACATTTAGTAAAAATATGTACAATCAACGGTAGTACAGCAAATGGTTATAGTCTAGTTTACGACGAATCGTGGCTCTTTTAATTTTACACAAATCCGGAAAGGTGGGCTTGACTTCTCTTGCGGTACAGGTTGCTGGGGAAAACAAATCATCGCGCGCAAGTGCCCGGTGTTGCTCACAAAATGTACCCGTTTAAATTTTAAAGTTTTAAAAATGTGTTGGCCTCACCGAAAACATTAAAATTTTTACCCCGCTTAAGCCTAACCTACGCCTTTTTTTTCCAAATAAGATACACAGCCCAACGGCTTTTTCTTTACAGCCTGCACAGCAATAACAACATAAGAACGATATTTTAAAAGATGGGACTTAATCAGATAAACATAAGCATTCTAAGTTATCCTTTCATTTAGAAATACTCATTTCATAGACATACATTAACGTGAGACAGCTGCCATTTTGAAAGTCATAGTTTCAAATAACCCACCCCCTTCCGCATAGGTAACTGATCACCTTTAAAAGCTACCTGCTATTTCTAATAGTAGAAGAACGGACACTGTGTAGTTACACGGACTTGCTGAAGGCTGGCCTGACAGCGTTCATTGAACCCTAACATTTATCGATCTCCAACCGTGAACGACCTCACAACGGTTTGATGTGTCAAACAGATGTTAAAAGCGACATCTTGGAGATTCTTCAATCCCGTGTTCTCATCGTTCATTATACCATGTTTCACGAGTTGCAGTCTTTTGAAGAGAAATATTTTTCTCAAGTTTGCTCCGCCATCCTCCCCCCACTTTAATATCTGAACATCCAGTTCCGGTGTAGTTAGGCCTCAAATAGGGCTGGTAAGTAGGTCACCAACCAGTTCTACGGTTCACTAAAACCTGCATGAGACATAGAGCTGGTTGGTGACCTACTTACCAGCCCTATTAAACGGGTGATAACGGAAGGAAGAGGATAAGATCAAAAGCCACAACCAGTCCCGCTGTAGTTAAACCCTAAGCTAGTCCCACTGTGGACGTGGTGGTACCACCAGCCCTTCATCCCCAGGATGAAGACAAACGCCCCACTACTTCCAGGACAAGTGCAGGCAGTGTAACAGAATCGGTTGCTTTGACCTTTGACTGTTAACCTGTGAACCCACTGACCTATCGACACCCGTTTAACCCCTCCGTGAGGGTGAGACACGACGACCGTTAACTTGTTCTCCAGCGCACTGTAATCCTCGTATTTCCGGTTTAGAGTTTTAAACAGCTCCATGAAAACTGACCAGGTTTTTTCGAATTTTTCAACCAAATCTGCATCATGCGTGACGCAGATTAAATTACTCCTGTCCTCTTCAACGCAGACTTCCCCCACGTCATGACCGCAAAGATGAAACACGTCGCTGTTTTCATCGTCGTAGTCCACAAGACACACCGTCTTCTCCGCTTCGCTCTTATCGTACACAACATGCGCGGCGGTGACGATCATCACGTACGCCCAAGTTTTTTTGGGATTTTGAGCCGTCCGGCACTCCTGACATGGGCAGCTCCGGTTCTCCGGCTCTGAGTACTTGGTCAGACCCCAGAACCTGCCGCTGCCCACTCGCTGCACGGCGGTGCCCCGCTGCTCGTAAAACGGGTACTGGTGCCTGGTGCCAGGGTAGAACTCGGGTCTCTGGTCACTGATGGTCTTGACCACCACCTTGACGGCCAGCCCGCCCAGACACCGGATGGTTTCAAGAATAGAGAGGTTGCACACACGTGACCAAAACCACGTGATGTTACATCCGCCGCCATGTTGACCGCCATGTTGATGCCCTAACGCCGGCCTTAACAACCGGTGTATATAAATTATTTTAATATAAAAGCGCTAGGCAGTGGAGTCTTCAGTACAGTTTTGTGTTAGACTAGTTCCAGAATGTGTTCAGCTTATGTTAAAAGCCTCGCACCTACCGAGCAAGAACAATACATTTAAAAAATTGAACTTTTATGCATTGAAGATCCGTATCTTCTTAGTGATAAGCGTCAACTTCAAGAACGTGTAGATGATATCAGTATTTGGCCAAAAATTGAAAACATGGACATAGTGAACTATTTAGTGTTTTCGACCAACAAAGTGACACAGGAAAAGATGAGAAACTATAAAAGCCTGAAGTCCTATGTATACTTTACGGATGGGCTTGTGTCCCAATCAAAATGTAGAGAATTTGGAAGCAAAGTCGTCGTTGTTGCCAAAGTAAGTCAATTCTATACTAGAATCTATATATAATATATTATTATAATAGACTAAATATTATGTCTTATGATGTTTACCTAAATATTTAAATGACTTAGGGGAAAGCAGGGTATAAGTATAAGGCAGGTATCCCACTTTTTAGGACCTGTCCATTTTTTTTGGATTTTACTAATCCAATATTAATAATGTAACGTTTTTACTGCTCTCAAAATAGGCTGTTCTATTGTAATATTCTTGCTTCTATCAATTGCAACGTTCTTCTTCTCTTCTATTTCTCACTCTCAGTCACAGTCACAGACGATCAAGAATGAAGAATAAGCCGTCTTCTGCAAATCTTTATTTGACTATCTTTCTTGAGCGGGAATTGTCTGTGTAGCGCGCATCTAACAAGACTATAGCGCCAATACGTGTGCTGCATAAATTACTGACTAGGGCCGTCGTTTCTCCATCCCCTCTAAGGCTAACGCACCGGCTTATATACCCCACCCGCGAGCGTCTCGGATGACACCTTGCTCTTGGCACGAATTCTAACGCTTACCTGTGAAAATTTCTCCCGCTTTTGTGCTAACCGACCCCAAATAACCCTATATAAAAACTTAACGCGATCTCCTAAAATTCTAATAAGCTTATCTCTGAAACCACAGACAATTCCCTTTACACTGATACAAATTACAATAAACATCAATAAATTGTTCTTCAACAATAATACTTCAAACATGCAAATATTGTAAAAATATAATCAAATACACCTAATTAAAGTAGATTTACATAATATCGGCTTGCTCCTAACTAACACTAAGATATTCTAATTAAAGATCAAGCTTAGCCTAATAGTTCTTCCAATTTTCATGCTATAATAACAACTATTTATTAAGATATGAATTTTTCTTCTTGCCCTACTAAGCACAATTGACTGATTTCTAACAAATTCACTACATTTGACCCTACCAAAGTTAAGAATTTTGTCCTCAAAATTGATTTAATTTATTAAAGGTTTTATATATTCGACATCTTAAATCACATCTTCATAAATATGATACATCATAAACATCCATTATAATTATCAAAATGCAACATAATGATCAAATTAAAAAAACAACAACCAGAAACTGGCTCCATTGTAATATCGATTAACATGAAGTTATTATACAGTCTTGTTTTGCATTTGTAATGTCTACGTTCCTTCTGGTTAGATCTGTACATCTTATAATTTCAATGTTCCTGTGGTATGTTCACAGACCAAACCATGAGCATAATTGTAATGGTTCTAAATCTTCTATATTGGTCCTAGCACAAAGTTAAACTGTATCTACTTACATTTCGTCGGAATACATTCACATCCAGGAATGTAATGAAAAACACCCGATTTTACAAAAATTCACAAGGTATCTTAATAATCCAGATCATTATTTAAGAATTCACACGATATTTAAGTAATTTAGAACACTATTTTAAGAATTCACTCGGTATCCTAATAATCCAGAACACTATTTTAAGAATTCACACGTTATCCAAATAATCCAGAACACAGTCTATACTTATCAATTTAACAGGCTCCATTTTTGTTAATCCAACAGTCGACGAGTTCGTTTGATTTCTCGTTGGGGTCTTGTATTTCCCCTTGCGTCGTTGTGTGTAGTAACAGTTAGTTTTGGGCTTGTTTCATCAGCCCTGTGATCATTTCCTCTCTCTGACAGCTGACTCTCTGTGTCTTGACCTTCGTCGCCTGTCTCATCGTCCGTTGAGTATTCCGACAGTGGAGGTGAACCACCATCGGGATGAAGTTTGAGTTGTAAGTCAACGATCCATTTCGTTGGTTCCCGTTGGTGAAATGGCTTTAATTTGTCGTGGTGCACGACTTTTGTCTTTTTGTCCTTGTTCTCTATCTCAAAGAGAAGGTCACTTAGTTTTCTTCTTATGACGTATGGACCTTTCCAGTGTCTGGGAGCAAGCTTCCTACTCACGCCTACTTTCCTCGCCTCCTCTAGACACAACACTACATCTCCAACATTGTAGTCATTGGAGACAATGTTGAGGTCGTAGTCTCTTTTGTTCCTCTCGTGTAGGCCTCCTGTCTTCTCACCAGGTTGTTGCCTAACTTGACATCTCTCGCAACAGTTCACCCAGTTGGTGACCTCATGTTTCATTCTAAACCAAAAATAATATTCTTGTACCTTGGCTAATGTGTTTTGAATGTCAACATGTCTGGCGCCCTTGTTATTGTGACACTTGTCTAGAACCTTAGACATTAGGAGATGTGGCACTATCACCTTTAGTTCTGTCTTCCGTTCTTTTGTCACCCACTTCCAGCATAATATGCCATCTGCAAGTGTCAGTCTGTTAAAATTCAGCCAGTAATAGCGGAGTTCCCGGCCTTCTGCGGTTAACTCCCTCTGTTCAGGCCTCTGTTCGTTCTGCACCCAGGAAATACACTTCTTCAAAATATGATCACCATTTTGTGCCTTCCGAATTTCCTGCTGGGAGAACAGTAGACCCTTCCGCAGATAGAATCGATCATGTTTCTGGTCTGTAATAGAAGCTTTCAATATTGCGGCAACTGGTGCCACTCTATGTGTATTTTGTGTGCTTCTTGGAACTGCGTCATTAAAGTTGTAGAAGTTGGACCGCCATTTTTGGTCTTCTTCTTTGAACATCTTTTCTCTGCCTCTGGTCTGTGTCGGGACTCTTCTACCATTGAGGTATAAGCCCTTTTTAGCCGAAAATTGAAACTCATGTTTCATTAGGAAGTCCATCCCCAAGAAACCATCTTCCTCAATGTCAGCTATGACTGTTGTCCACTTTGTGACAACATTGCCAGCTCTCATATCTACTGTACATGTGCCTAGACAGTTTATTTTGTCACCCCCTGCAGATTGTACTGAGACCTTCTTGTCCATGGGTTGAAGTTTGTTTCTAATAGCTTGTGGTAACTTGTTGAAGGCTCTTGTGGACATGACAGTGACAGCAGCGCCCGTGTCTACCAGAAACATCATGTTGTGTCTTGCTACCGTTACAGTCACCACTTCTGAACACCCGGGGACAACACTACGGATTGAAATCTCTGTTGGCACGTCCACTTGCTTGTTGCTTGCCGCGGCTTTTACTTTCAGAAAGTTAAGGCCTAAAAGATTTTCATCATTGTTATCTGTATCATTCTGTCGGATTTCATTTATTCTGGCTGTAGATTGGGTTGGCCGGGCTTGATAACTGTATGTATTTCCATTACTCGACCTTCGTTGGTTAATCTCTTGATTCCGATGACTTCTAGGGCAATTCCTAGCCAAATGTCTGCCCCCACAAGTGTAGCATCCAGGGTCATTGGGCCTGCGTTGATTGCTTCTGACCATCTCTTGTAGTCTTTTCACCTCCTGCTGTAGGCTATCTAACTGGCTCTGCTCCTGCACCGAACACATTTTTGTTTTTGTTGTGCAGTCTCTAGCACTGAGGTATTCGTCCAGAATGTTTCTGGCCTCATCTGTGCTAATTGGGCGCTGGGCGGCAATGATACCTGCGAGGTGAGGATCTTGTAGCCCCTTGAGAAAATAACGCAGTGCAACTGTTGCTTTTGTTGCTTGGTCAGCTGACGGGAAAGCCATGGCCGTCAGTCGTTTAACATCTGACGTATATTCAGCGGTTGTCTCCCTTGCTGACATCTTTCTATTTTCTAACTGGGTCAGATGTGTAGCGGTGCCCACCCTGGTGTCAAATCTCGCGCTCAGTGCTGCGACAAACGTTCCAAGCGTTGCTCGGTCAACTTGAGTGAGTTCAAGAAATGCAAAGTTGGCCGCACTCCCCTCCAAACAAGCTGGTAGATGCAGTAGCTGTCTATCTTCATTCCAGCTGTTAATGCGAGATATTGCTTGAAATTTGTTCCAAAACACTTGAAATGGCGCTGACCCGTCGTATTGTGGTAACGCCTGGTTCATACTTAATGGTCGCTCATCTTGTCTAGCGATTCTGAGTTCTTTAATCGTTTCTTGCAAGTTTCTTATTTGAGCCTGTAGTTCAATCTCTGCCATGTTTGTCCTCTGTATTAACTGGCCTGCTGTCAGTCTCTCTGGTTGCGTGTTAAAGATCGTTTCTTTCGCTGCCACCAAATGTAACGTTTTTACTGCTCTCAAAATAGGCTGTTCTATTGTAATATTCTTGCTTCTATCAATTGCAACGTTCTTCTTCTCTTCTATTTCTCACTCTCAGTCACAGTCACAGACGATCAAGAATGAAGAATAAGCCGTCTTCTGCAAATCTTTATTTGACTATCTTTCTTGAGCGGGAATTGTCTGTGTAGCGCGCATCTAACAAGACTATAGCGCCAATACGTGTGCTGCATAAATTACTGACTAGGGCCGTCGTTTCTCCATCCCCTCTAAGGCTAACGCACCGGCTTATATACCCCACCCGCGAGCGTCTCGGATGACACCTTGCTCTTGGCACGAATTCTAACGCTTACCTGTGAAAATTTCTCCCGCTTTTGTGCTAACCGACCCCAAATAACCCTATATAAAAACTTAACGCGATCTCCTAAAATTCTAATAAGCTTATCTCTGAAACCACAGACAATTCCCTTTACACTGATACAAATTACAATAAACATCAATAAATTGTTCTTCAACAATAATACTTCAAACATGCAAATATTGTAAAAATATAATCAAATACACCTAATTAAAGTAGATTTACATAATATCGGCTTGCTCCTAACTAACACTAAGATATTCTAATTAAAGATCAAGCTTAGCCTAATAGTTCTTCCAATTTTCATGCTATAATAACAACTATTTATTAAGATATGAATTTTTCTTCTTGCCCTACTAAGCACAATTGACTGATTTCTAACAAATTCACTACAATAATAAATATTGATGATTATTCTAAACCATTCTCACATAAAATAAACACTAATTTTACATTAAATTTGGTGACTTGTTCTGCTCAGTGGTAGTTGATGGCAACATTTGGTATGGGTTTACCATGCTTAAAACCATGATGGTAAACCCATGATGAGCCCATTCATAAAATAAAAAAATCAAATAGAAAATTAGTACCACTATAAGGTACCAAACTTTTTAGGACCTGTACATTTTTGTTGATTCTAATAATCCAATGTTTTCTAGCTTGAATTATTTTTCCTTTTAATCAGCTACAACAGTTTGATTTGTGTTTATGTTATAGCCTCAATTTGTTAATTAATACTTGTCTTATTTTGCAGGTCAAGCATTCACAGAAGGCAGCAGAAAAGCCAGTCGAGCCATGGCTTTTTTGTCAACAAACTGGAGTTATTTTGGCTGCCCACTGCAGTGGACTAGTAATTCATCCTGAAATGCACTACATAGGAGCCTCTCCAGATGGTCTGGTTACCTGTGACTGCTGTGGACAAGGTGTGCACTAAGGAGAAAATGTTGAGTGACATATCCAATAAGGAGGCCAAAAACCTTGGTCTGGGACCAAATAAACAATTACGTAGCACGCACCGCTACTACTATCAAATCCAGACCCAAATGGCAGCTACCAAGTCTTCATATGCTGATTTTGTCATATGGACAACAAAAGATGTTTACATAGAAAGAATTTTTTTTGACAGTAATTTGTGGTCAAGCATCTCTGTTAAGGCAGCAGAATTTTTTAAGAAAATTATATTGCCTGAACTGTTGGCATGCTATTATACCAATAAAAAGGCATCTGGCATTACTAAAGCTGTTGGCTTACCACTGACAAAAAGAAATAAGCCTACTCTGAATAAGTTAAAATAAAAATGAAATATGAAATGTGTTTTTATTTTTTATTAAATATTAAAATACAACCTGGTAACAATAAATTGTGCTGACAACAATAAATGGCATTTTTAAATACTCAAATTAATCAAAAGGCACAATAGCTGGACAAAGATTAATCAATGCACAACAAGTGGTCACTATATCATCTATTAAAGGATTGCCCTTTTCATTTAAATAATCCAGTGGTAAAGTGTCACTTAGAATTTTGTATTTTTGTCTAACTGACCCAATAACCCTTTCTACAGGAATCCGAACATTTGCAATCTTTCTTGTCTCAGCCACTTCCAAAGCTGATAGTTGTTTTTTTCCCTTTGTAAAAGCAGGAATAGCAAGCTTTGCACAATAAAGCCCAACACTATCTGCTATTGTAAATCCCCTATCAGCCAAAACTAAATCTCCAGGTGAAAGTTTGTTTAAAATGACACAATTTTCTGTTAAGTATTTATCACTAACCCTACCACCCCAAGCCTTAGATATAAAAGATATAGTACATTGTGGAGTGATGCCTATAAGAAATTTAATGGTATTGTGTTTATATTGTGACCAGGTGATTGCTCTAGCAGCTAGACTTGATGGTTTGTCAATAAAAATTTCAAAACAATCAATAATAACTGCTGTGTTTGCACCAAAGGAACGCTTGAAACAATTAGGCATAGTTTTTTGTATGTCCTCCCTTTCAGGCCACACTATAAATTGTCTAAGGTTGTGAGCCATATGGCGAACCCATTTCTCAAAAATTCTACTGGCTGTTGACTGTCTGAATATTTGCCTTATCTTTACCCATATCCACTGGGGAAGTGTGGTTTGTTTGATTATTGAAGCACTGAATATTTGAATTGCCTTCACCCATATCCACTGGGGAAATGTTGGTTGTTTGATTATTTAAGCACTGAATATTTGAACTACCTTCACCCATATCCACTGGGGAAGTAATGGTTGAATTACCTTCACCCATATCCACTGGGGAAGTATTGGCTGTTTGATTATTTAAGCACTGAATATTTGAACTACCTTCACCCATATCCACTGGGGAAGTAATGGTTGAATTACCTTCACCCATATCCACTGGGGAAGTATTGGCTGTTTGATTATTTAAGCACTGGATATTTGTTGAACTGCCCAATGGTAGTACCAAAAGGGCCTCTGCAGCTTCATAGGCACGTTTCTTTGCTTGTCTCTCTAATGTACGTGTGTGTCTTTCGACTGATAACTTCACTTTTGCCATAGAAATATTATCATGTCCAAGGAACAGAGTGGGAGCCCAGTCAACATTTGTTTCATCTCTGAAGTTTGCTGGTCTACCTGGATAAATAGAATATTTTTTTTAAAAAGACTACACGTGAATAGAGGGCCTACTTTTAAAAAGCTTATCCAAATATGAGAAATATGACTAACTATAATATATATAATATGTTATTAATAATTACTAGACTCAATATGATATACAGTTTAAAAAATAAAGTTATATTTAAGTCTACTAGATCTATTACTTACTATTCTTTATTTACTCTGATAAAATATTTAGAATCTAGTGTAAATTTTGTAAAGTTAATTTAAGTAATAATTAGTTAATCCTAGAGTTCTATGTCTGCCTAACCTAGAACTAGTGTAACCTGTGACCCAATTTGTTTCCAATAATTTCAGTTGCAGAAACCAAAAAAAATTATTTATGCCGTAATACAATAGTAAAGTTTTTAGGCTTATCATATATTATAAGTGTTTATGAGACTATAATTAGTTAAATAATAATTAGACAGTTGATAAGTTTCAGTACTAGATCTAGTAGTAGTTGTAGATAGAGTATTTAACTAGATCTAGCTACCCAGCTAGGCCTTACTCTAGCTAGACTCGTCAATATGAGTATGGTAAAATAATACAATATATTACTATACAATATATCGAATATTGACTATATATATTCACGAGACTAGACTCTAATACAAATTACGTTTTATAACTTTCGATATATTAGTATTTGCGATGACCTAACATTTTATTAAAGGTAAATCATTTAACTCTTTACCTGAAACAAAGTGTCGAGAACAGATCCGAATGTTGTTTGCAGCTGCTTCACTCACACCGCTTCGGTAAATATTGGCCAAAAATGTACGACGTCTACGTTCAGTTAACTGCCGATCTGTTTCACCTAGGTGTAATATAACTTTAGGCAGTCGAAATAAAGAAACGCCTTTTTACAATTTCCATAGCGAGAACTACAACCTTTCACAGTGCAGACCACCATTTTGAATGTAGACCCAAAATGGCGGACGTTTACATGGTTACAAATCCATGACATCACGTGCAACCTCTCTATATCCTGCTCTTGGTAGCAGCTGGGTAGGTCTTCTAGGCTGAGTTCACTGAACTTGATGAAACCCGAGTGGCCAGGATTTTTTGTACAGTTGTAGAATTTTCCAGAATCATTTCCTTCATGGCACACCTCTACTTCGTGGTGACCTGGGAGTAAAACATGGCAATGTTTATTTAAAAAAAAAGAAAATAATCAATCTAAAATAGGAAAAGTCATAGTTGTTATAAAAAAAAGTCAATTTGTTGTTGGAGCTATATACAAAAAATTGTTATTCCGTAAACTGATAACGGTTTAAGTAGTTCCATAAACTGATAGTGGTTTCAACAAAATAATTTCAAACATCTTATAAACAAAAAATAAAAAATAAAAAACAAAGTATTAAAATTTACCGTTGAATAAGGTCGATGGATCAAATTCAGCCATGAGATATTGAATTGCGCACACTTCTAGTTGCTAGAAGACAACAAGGTCACGTGATTAAGCGGGCCAATGATAACAGAGAGATACATAAAAACAACATCAACGGGAGGCCAACAGACGTATAACACTAGCAACAAGGGTTAAACATCAGATGTGTAACACTAGCAACAAGGGCTAAACATCAGATGTGTAACACTAGCAACAAGGGTTAAACATCAGATGTGTAACACCCGCAACAAGGGCTAAACATCAGATGTGTAACACCCGCAACAAGGGCTAAACATCAGATGTGTAACACTAGCAACAAGGGCTAAACATCAGATGTGTAACACTAGCAACAAGGGCCAAACATCAGATGTGTAACACTAGCAACAAGGGCTAAACATCAGATGTGTAACACTAGCAACAAGGGCCAAACATCAGATGTATAACACTAGCAACAAGGGCTAAACATCAGATGTGTAACACTAGCAACAAGGGCTAAACATCAGATGTGTAACACTAGCAACAAGGGCTAAACATCAGATGTGTAACACTAGCAACAAGGGCCAAACATCAGATGTATAACACTAGCAACAAGGGCTAAACATCAGATATATAACACTAGCAACAAGGGCCAAACATGAGATCCCTCATTACCCCCTTTACAAATAACTGATGTTTGTAGTAGTAAATGTAACTAAACGTTATTGAATGACTTCAATGCTACACGTTCTATTCAGTGTTTCTTTTCTTCCAGACTTTGTTCCTCGGGGGGGGGGGGGGGGGGCACTTGAAATTTTCGGGGGGGGGGGGGGGGGGGGCGGTAGACTACGCTACTCATTGTGTACTTTTTGGCATAGGCCCTACATCTTCAAACCAGGTACTTCTATGGCACCTTCATAACTTTAATCGGTGCGTTGGTGTTATTTTTCTATCCAGGTCTACACTGATGCGGATAACGCTTCCTATTACAACAATAGTGTTACTTTTTTTTAAACAATCAAAAACTCTTGGGAGAATATCAGTAACGAGTTCTAATACAATAAATATCGATAATCGTTAGGAAAATCCTGGATACATTATAAATTTTAAAAAAAGTTGAGAAAAAAGAAACAATCTTTTTCGTCAAATATAAACGCACTGAGCTGTGCTATTTTATGGAAGCCTATATATATATATATATATATATATATATATATATATATATATATATATATATATATATATATATATATATATATATATATATATATATATATATATATATATATATTTATTTATTTATTTATTTATATATATATTTATTTATATATATATATATATATATATATATATATATATATATATATATATATATATATATATATATGTATATATATATATATATATATATATATATATATATATATATATATAAATAAATTATATATATATATATATATATATAAATTATATATATATATATATATATATATATATATATATATATATATATATATATATATATATATATATATATATATATATATATATATATATATATATATATATATATATATATAAATAAATAAATAAATAAATATATATATATATATATATATATATATATATATATATATATATATATATATATATATATATATATATATATATATATATATATATAAATAAATAAATATATATATATATATATATATATATATATATATATATATATATATTATATATATATATATATATATATATATATATATATATCAGGGGCGTAGCGAGGGGGGCGGGGGGGTGCGGACCGCACCGGGTGACACCATTTAGGGGGGTGGCACCAAGGCAAAAAATAGCAAAATATATAGAGAAAAACTCGAGGGGGGTGCAAATCGAAACTTTGAGGGGGGAGGGGGGGGGGGTGCAAATCGTAAACTTGAGGGGGGTGCAAATCGAAAGTTTGAGGGGGGGGGGGGGGGGGTTGTGCAAATCGAAAATTTGAAAGTTTGTCCCTGGGAAGGGTCTCTATGCCTCTGGGGGGGGGGGGGTGACACCATTAAGTGCCGCACCGGGTGACACCCGACCTCGCTACGCCACTGATATATATATATATATATATATATATATATATATATATATATATATATATATATATATATATATATATATATATATATATATATATATATATGTACACAAAGAGACATGTACAAGATGTTTATTTACCTCACACAAGAGTATTCATGCATCTACTGAATGACTCCAACACAAAAATGAAAAGTAATTATTTTAAAATGTTGTATTGAGCTCCCACTAACGATTGTGTGATTTAATTGATTTAATTAAGCAATGAGTAGACCGATTCTAACAGGCCGTTTAACGGATGTCCCCAGTTTCTAATTTCAAGGCCACTATAATGTAAACAAGGAGTCAAAGGACAAAACTGAAATTTTTGGAGCTATAAATAGATTTCAAACTAATTTAGAATTGTATCTTTCCGATTTTAGAATCTACTCATTTGAAGAAGTTATTTAATTGAGTGTTGCGTAAAAATTATGTGTCCGTTCGACTTTGATGAATCTCATTTATACTACCAGTAGGTGAACTTAGACTCAGTGTATGACGATAGAACTTAGACTGTGTGTATTGACGTTAGATTGACATCGAGTTAGGGGTCAGTTGTGTGTAATGAGGACCGCTGTAAAGGGTCACGTGAGCATGACGTGGTTTACCTCGCCAACCCACATCAGGGCTGTGTTTAGCCGTACCATCGTGAACATTTAACTCAAGTACAACATATCTAGTCTTTAATATGTCGGGAGTTTCCAACCCTCAATGCTTCACTATTCCCCCCGCCCACCCCATGCTGACGAAATATCACTCCCCACTCCCCACCAGAGGCGTAGCGACCCTTCCCGGCGCCCGGGGACATACTTTCAATTTGGCGCCCCTCTCGGGAGCAAATTTTCAATTTGCACCCCCCTCAAACTTTCGATTTGCACCCCACCTCAAACTATTTATAATGCAAAAGTGCAGCTAAAATGACATTTTAATTTGTTTTTACAACCCATTTTGGCGCCCCCTAAGGTCGGCGCCCGGGGACATATGTACCCTCCTGCCCCCCCCCCCCCCCCCATCGCTACGCCTCTGCTCCCCACCCATGATTTCAACGCCCTATTGGTTTGGTGACGAGTGTTTTCTTGTAGACAATGACGTATCTACTCTGTCAGAAGGGCCACGTCAAATTGTACTCTTGACATTCAACTCCTCCCCTTCCAACATGACGGTGGAGGTGGGGGTGGGGTGTGGGTGGGGGTGGGGGGGGTGTCTCTGTCGTACCACACCTCTAAAACTACAGGCGAGTTTGTGACAAAACAAAATCCACATCAACATTTGTCTTGACAGAAATAAATAAAAGACCCAACAAGCAGCGGTGTGTCATAGAATGTGATTATTCAAATATCTACACAAGTCACATAAGTTTACACTATTGTATAAAAAAATATTCCAACACAAATTTCAAACATTTCCTCATTTCAAAACTCAACCACTCATTTCTCCCCCTCTCCCTCGTCTCTCTCGCTTTCAACAAACTTTTAATGCCCTCTCTCTCCCTGTCTCTCTCGTCTCTCTGTGTTCAGCAAGCTTTTAATGTCCTCTTTATTTCTCCCCCTCTTTCTCATCTCTCTCGCTTTCAACAAGCTTTTAATGGTCTCTCTATTTCTCTCCCTCTCTCTCGTCTCTCCCTCTCTCTCGTCTCTCCCTCTCTCTCGCCTCCCTCTCTCGTCTCTCTCGCTTTCAACAAGCTTTTAATCCTCTTAATCCTCCGGTTCATCCTCCTCTTCCTCCTCCTCCTGCTCCCCTCCCTCGAAGTCCTCATCGACCGCTGGAGGGATGTAACGACCGAGCCTGCCCAGATCAAACGTGTGAAAGATCTCAAGCGAGATGGGTTGGTTGGCCTACACACAAGAAAAATGGAACACATTCAACGATAATATTTAAAGCCTTCTGAATCTAAGCAAGGTGATTATAGGCGAGAAATACATTTAGTTTAACAATGTTTGTTCTAAGGGGTCATCCATAAGTGACGTCAGGCCTTTTTTGACGATTTTACCTCCCCCCTCCCACGTCACACATCGTCACAAAGAGCCAGACCCCCCCCCCCCCCTAAAATCACGTCAAATCTCAGCCTACAACCACCCTCAAAATTGCAGTTGAATTTTTCTTAAAACAGAGTATTTTAATAATTCCAATTTCAATTACCACCCCACTTCCTCTCACCACACACCGTCACAAAATTATGGACCCCTCTCCCCCTACAAGTGTGACTTCATTTATGGACGACCCCTAATAGATGGAGTGTTTGGCAGTTTGGGCTTTAAGTTCATTTACTTTCACTGAAGCTCCTGCAGAAGCTGCCACCTGTTAACTGTCTTCAGACTAGTTGACATTTTACTTGTGATCCAAAATTATTAAATTCTTTTTGTTCTAGTTACTAAAGGAAAAATGTAGATTCAGACTTGATTTTATTTTTTTACCTTCTGCTGTATGCCCGTTTATTTGATTTCTGTCATTCTTATAGCAAGAAAATAACGCTTCTGAGTTTTTTAAAAAACATTTTAAAAGGGAGCGAATTATGAAAATAAAAATACGTAAGCATTTGTGCAGTTATTTCCCTTTATATTACTCCGACGATTGTAAATGATTCAAGTGGCACTACCATTAGCTACCATTAGAATCTTCACATCAAAGGTAACCAAAGACCGTACAACTGACTGAAGGGCTTAAATTATTTCTGTTGATTAGGCTAGGCAAGACCTCAGTACTAGTCAAGCGTAAAACTAATCAGTGACGTCACTAAGTCGGGTGATACCCGTTGTGGTAACTCACGGTACCATCCTCAAACGACTTTATATCAGCGTAAATGGACGTAAATATGGACGTAAACTTGTTATTTAGTTATAACACACCCCCACGCCCCCACACACACATGAAACATGAATGTCCGAATATCCTTAAGTATGATCAAAGCTTTAATTGATGGTGTCACCTCCATGAATGGTGTCACCCGGTGCGGAGGCTACTAAAGTGACTGTCTGCCCTGTACTGCCCTCACCTCAATGTGTAAAGTGACTGTCTGCCCTGTACTGCCCTCACCTCAATGTGTAAAGTGACTGTCTGCCCTGTACTGCCCTCACCTCAGTGTGTAAAGTGACTGTCTGCCCTGTACTGCCCTCACCTCAGTGTGTAAAGTGACTGTCTGCCCAGTACTGCCCTCACCTCAGTGTGTAAAGTGACTGTCTGCCCAGTACTGCCCTCACCTTAGTGTGTAAAGTGACTGTCTGCCCTGTACTGCCCTCACCTCAATGTGTAAAGTGACTGTCTGCCCTGTACTGCCCTCACCTCAGTGTGTAAAGTGACTGTCTGCCCTGTACTGCCCTCACCTCAGTGTGTAAAGTGACTGTCTGCCCAGTACTGCCCTCACCTTAGTGTGTAAAGTGACTGTCTGCCCTGTACTGCCCTCACCTCAGTGTGTAAAGTGACTGTCTGCCCTCACCTCAATGTGTAAAGTGACTGTCTGCCCTGTACTACCCTCACCTCAGTGTGTAAAGTGACTGTCTACCCTGTACTGCCCTCACCTCAGTGTGTAAAGTGACTGTCTGCCCTGTACTGCCCTCACCTCAATGTGTAAAGTGACTGTCTGCCCTGTACTGCCCTCACCTCAGTGTGTAAAGCGACTGTTTGCCCTCACCTCAGTGTGTAAAGTGACTGTCTGCCCTCACCTCAGCGTGTAAAGCGACTGTCTGCCCTCAACTCAGTGTGTAAAGCGACTGTCTGCCCTCACCCCAGTGTGTAAAGTGACTGTCTGCCCTCACCTCAGCGTGTAAAGCGACTGTCTGCCATGTACTGCCCTCACCTCAGTGTGTAAAGCTGTAAAGCGACTGTCTGCCCTCACCTCAGTGTGTAAAGCGACTGTCTGCCCTCACCTCAGTGTGTAAAGCGACTGTCTGCCCTTTACTGCCCTCACCTCAGTGTGTAAAGCGACTGTCTGCCCTCACCTCAGTGTGTAAAGCGACTGTCTGCCCTCACCTCAGTGTGTAAAGCGACTGTCTGCCCTCACCTCAGTGTGTAAAGTGACTGTCTGCCCTGTACTGCCCTCACCTCAGTGTGTAAAGCGACTGTCTGCCCTGCCCTCACCTCAAACTTCTGCTTGAGCTGCTCAGCTATCTTGAGTTCCCTGAGTGTCATGAAGGCGTCATAGAGACACTTGAACCTGAGCTTTGGTTTCCAGGTCTCGGTCATGTTGTACCAGTAATCGATGATGGCCTTGGCCACCCCAATCCTCTCCTGGTCAGTCGTGTCGGCCTGGAGGATACCCTGGGGGTGAGAGGTCAGAGGTCATGGTCAGTTCAAGAACACAGACGTTTGGGTTGGTGAGTGATTGGATGGGTGAGTGATTGGATGGGTGAGTGATTGGATGGGTGAGTGATTGGATGGGTGAGTGATTGGATGGGTGAGTGATTGGATGGGTGAGTGATTGGATGGGTGAGTGATTGGATGGGTGAGTGATTGGATGGGTGAGTGATTGGATGGGTGAGTGATTGGATGGGTGAGTGATTGGATGGGTGAGTGATTGGGTGGGTGAGTGATTGGATGGGTGAGTGAATGGATGGGTGAGTGATTGGGTGGGTGAGTGAGTGGATGTGTGAGTAGTTAAATGGGTGAGTGATTGGATGGGTGAGTGATTGGATGGGTGAGTGATTGGATGAGTGAGTGATTGGCTGGGTGAGTGATTGGATGGATGAGTGATTGGATGGATGAGTGTTTGGATGATTGAGTGATTGGGTGGGTGAGTGATTGGATCGGTGAGTGATTGGATAGGTGAGTGATTGGGTAGGTGAGTGATTGGATGGGCTAGTGATTGATGGGTGAGTGATAGGATGGGTGAGTGATTGGATGGGTGAGTGATTGGATGGGTGAGTGATTGGATGATTGAGTGATTGGATGGGTGAGTGATTGGATGATTGAGTGATTGGATGGGTGAGTGATTGGATGAGTGAGTGATTGGCTGGGTGAGTGATTGGATCGGTGAGTGATTGGATAGGTGAGTGATTGGGTAGGTGAGTGATTGGATGGGCTAGTGATTGATGGGTGAGTGATAGGATGGGTGAGTGATTGGATGGGTGAGTGATTGGATGGGTGAGTGATTGGATATGTGAGTGATTGGATGGGTGAGTGATTGGATGGGTGAGTGATTGGGTGGGCGGGTGAGTGATTGGATGGGTGAGTGATTGGATGGGTGAGTGATTGGGTGGGCGGGTGAGTGATTGGATGGGTGAGTGATTGGATGGGTGAGTGATTGGGTGGGCGGGTGAGTGATTGGATGGGTGAGTGATTGGATGGGTGAGTGATTGGATGGGTGAGTGATTGGATGGGTGAGTAATTGGATGGGTGAGTGATTGGATGGGTGAGTGATTGGATGTGCGAGTGATTGGATGGGTGAGTGATTGGATGGGTGAGTGATTAGATGGCAATGTTCCCTCTAAGCTGCGCGGGTGCGCGGCCGCGCAGTAGTTTTGAGCTGCCGCGCAGTGATTTTGTAAAATAAATATATCCCTGTATAAGACTTTTAGAACACCGCGCACGGAAAATACATTTTGAACACTAGCTTTTCCCCTTAGAGGAAACATTGTTAGATGGGTGAGTGATTGAAAAGGATGGGTGAGTGATTGAAAAGGATGGGTGAGTGATTGGATGATTTGATACGACAGTTGAGTTCTAAGATAGATGACTTTTGTAAACTAAAAACAAAACGTAAAAAAGACGCGACGCTGTGACTTTCGTGAGAGCTGTGGAGCACACATGTTACTGCACAAGTGATTGGATGGTCAGGTTTGGGTTCGGATCCTACCTTAGGCGCGACCTTGTACATGAGGTTGTGGAGGGTCAAGGTCGGAATGTTGAGCATCATCCCCAGACACAGGCCATTGACGCCGATAGCGCCGACACCAAAGGCGAACTCCTGCATACTCATCTCACAGAAGAAAGTCTGTGGAGATGTGGAGACGTGTGGTCTAGATGTGGTCAAGTTATGGTCACACTGTGGTCAAGATGTGGTTAAGATGTGGACACGTGGTCAAGTTAAAGACAGTTGGGCGATTAACAAGTTGACACGTAATACTTGTGTTGGAGGGAATCTCTTCCAACATTAGAACATTAAGAACGAAGAAAAATAAGAATGATATGTGATCAAGTTATGGACAACTGGCCAAGTTGTAGACATGTGGACAAGATGTGGGTATGATGTCAAGATGTGAACATGTGGTCAAGATGTAGACATGTGGTCAAGATGTAGGCATGTGGTCAAATTGTAGATATGTGGTCGAGATGTGAGCATGTGGTCAAGATGTTGACATGTGGTCAAGATGTAGACATGTGGTCAAGATGTAGACATGTGGTCAAGATGTAGACATGTGGTCAAGATGTAGACATGAGGTCAAGATGTAGACATGTGGTCAAGATGTAGACATGAGGTCAAGATGTAGACATGTGGTCAAGATGTAGACATGTGGTCAAGATGTAGACATGTGGTCAAGATGTAGACATGAGGTCAAGATGTAGACATGTGGTCAAGATGTAGACATGTGGTCAAGATGTAGACATGTGGTCAAGATGTAGATATGTGGTCAAGATGTAGACATGTGGTCAAGATGTTGACATGTGGTCAAGATGTTGACATGTGGTCAAGATGTTGGCCGTACCACCAGACACAACTTACAAATCTCTCATCTGGCTCGTGATCCTGTTCATCGTCCGAGTCTGTCATGGCTGCTAGTTACAAGCTGGACCTGTAACACCTGCTGGAGAAACCGTAACTAACTGTAACATGCAGTAACTAACCGTAGTAAACCGTAACAAAACGTAACAAACCGTAACTAACGTAACATATCGTAACATGCAGTAACATACCGTAACATATCGTAACATACAGTACCATACTAAAACATACCATAACTAACCGAAACATACCGTAACTAACCCTAACAGATCGTGAAAACATAACTTATAACCAAATATATAACAATCAGTTTAAAAACTGACTTATACGAATCAACAACTGTGTAAGACCAACTAGAGACTATAAAATTGTCAAGATTCTATAATTTATATCGAACCTTAATATTTACTTATCCCATCTACAATAGAAGATGGTATCCTATCATTAATTTTATAAACCTAGATCTAGACTCTATCTCTACTAGAGTCTGGATTCTAGATCTAGATCTAGATAGATCTAGCTAGATGTAGATCTAGGTTATAATGTAACGTATATTCTGTTCTTTTCTAGATTTCTAACCTGGAACGATTTAATAAGTTATTATCTGCACCAGTAGATGTGCGATGTAAGTTCTAGAAAAGGTTACCGTTAATTTTCTTGAGAAAGACTTTTGACTGTCGCTTGCAGTAAAAATTGTTTCAATCAAAGTTTCAAGCTTGTTTACATGGTAACCCTAGCAACGGTTACGTTTAGCTACGGTGCTGTTTTGTGCAGAACATAAAGTTTGAAAGCGTTTAGTTCAGTGTTAGTTCCAGACTTTTTTCTCCGGGGGAGATGGGGGGACTTGATATTTTCCCGGGGGTCGGACACTAGTAAAAGTATATGTTTACTATATAAATTCCATCTCGTTCGAAGAGATGCCTGGAAGAAACTCTGGTTTAGCTTCCACCTCATGAAAAACTAGCCACTACTTGCAAAAACTGTGCGTCATTGTTTGGATACAAATAAATATTTCATTTATTTCTAAGACTTTAATTTAAATTTGTAGAATCTTGATTCCTCCTGCTAAATGGGTCAGTAATTAATGGAAACTTGCAATCAAAATTTCGCTATTTTTCTACCAAACTATTAGTTTCAAACTTGACCCTTTGAAAAAAAAAATTCATAAATAAAGTACAGAAGGCAAGTGTCCGGCTCCCTGTTGAGGCCAGTGAAAACTAATGAGCCGATTAACTTAACGAGTTAAGTAATTTAGCACTGTAACAGCTGTTCCAAATTTCTCGTTATCTTTTAAAAGTTTTCCAATAGTTTAGAGTGGTTCTAAATTTAGAAAAAAAAAAAAAAAAACACGTTTATATCGAATTATAAAAGCTATTTGATGAGCTTTTTTTAAAAAACTAGAAACCACACCGCTGGGTCCAATGATTATATAAAACCTGCCATTTGTCTCAACTAGCTGGTTGAGAGGTTGAGTGTACCGCCGCTAAGAGAGAGACATGAGATCATATCCATGTCGCAAAACTGTTTTCGGTGTTAATGCCGGGACCGACACACTGACCTTGACTGACCCACTGACCTTGACTGCCACACTGACCTTGACTGACGCACTGGCCGTGCTTGACACATGGATCAAACTGTCATTTGAACGTCCTATACAAATGCACTTTACCACAGGTAAACGGCACCCATATTCTCTTAACCTCAGGTAAGCGGCACCTATATTCCCTGCGCTTTACGCACCCGCATATTCTCTTTACCTCAGGTAAGCGGCACCCACATATTCTCTTTACCTCAGGTAAGCGGCACCCACATATTCTCTTTACCTCAGGTAAGCGGCACCCACATATTCTCTTTACCTCAGGTAAGCGGCACCCACATATTCTCTTAACGGACATAGGCGACGGTCGTTTAATAATTTTACATTTGCAACAAGATTCATGATATAAAGCTATATATTTTTTATAGCATAAATGTTGTTTACTTTGGTAAACTTTTCGTGCATCCCCTAGCAACATTGCCCCCCCCCCCCAGAAAAGTACCAACCTCCCCTAGCAATGTTATACGCCAACCCTAACAAAAGATAGTAGCCTCCGATCCCCCCCCCCCCCCAAAGTACGATCCTCCCAGTTTGATAACCACTGGGCAAATAATGACCAACACACAGAGTTTTAGAACTACGAATACTTCGTGTTGTTGATGCCAGATTTTTTACGTTATCTTAAAGTCTGGAAATGACTCAAGGCTTCGTTAGTTGAGGCACACATCTAGACAACAGTCACACACTGATAGAGGATATATTTAGACAATAGGATCAGATTCTTGTAGAAAATGTCGGCCTTGTTTATCTCAATGGTCATCTTCTTACTTGGAGTTTCATCAATCCAAGGTTGTGATTTTATTTTCTTACGTGAACTATAACAGTAATCAGTTGTGATTTTTAAAACTTATTTTGTGTGAAATGAAAGGTTGTGATTTTAATTTTTCACGGGAACTATACCAATAATCCAAGCTTGTAGTCTTAATTTTTTAATGGGAAATACAACAATATTCCAAAGTTTTGATTTTAATTTTTTAATGGGAAATAGAACAATAATCTAAAGTTTTGATTTTAATTTTTTTAACCACCTCTATTTTACCAACTGTTGACTTGTAGGTCAAATCTCCGAGTGCGAGGAGGCGGGGGGCAGCTGTATATTCATGGCTGCCGCCATTGCCTGTCCTCCCATGTCACAGTACCTGACCTGCAACCGCAACATCGACATGTGCTGCAACTTACACGGCCACTCTCTCGAGTCTAGAGGTAGGGATGTTAGGTGGAGGTCAAGGACGTCGTGTGGGGTCAAGGTGTTGTTTGAGGGTTGGGTCAAGACGTTGTTGGGGTGGGGTCAAGGTGTTGTTGGGGTGGGGTTAAGGTGTTGTTTGAGGGTTGGGTCAAGTCGTTATGTGGGGGTGGGGTCAAGACATTGTTTGCTGGTTGGTTCAAGACGTTATGTATGGGTGAGGAGGTAATGTGTGGGTCGTTGTCAGGACTCTGTGTGTGAGTGAGGAAGGATATATATATATATATATATATATATATATATATATATATATATATATATATATATATATATATATATATATATATATATATATATGTGGGACTGGGCCATCCTCACATTAAACTGCTACTTTGTTTGGAAATATACTTCTCAACAAGGTGGTCGAGTGGTCGTGATCGCTACTACAAGCCCGGGGGCTGGTTCAAGTCTGTAGCCACTAATTCTCTTCACCCGTGTATTCTAGAAGATCACACGCGCAATGTAATAAGCACGAGCACATTCTAATCAAGCTTCTCTAGCCCTGTAATTTAACACCCACACCCTCTAATTAAGCCCATTAGCATTAAAATTAAGCACTCGCGCTCTCTAATAGAGCATCTAGATTCCGCAAACTCTTAATCAAGCACCCTCACCTTCTGGTAAATCACACTTACCCTCCAACAAGACCCGCGCCATCTTAACCGCACCTCCATTTTCCATGTCCCCAGAAGCTGCTCAGGTCAAGAGGTCAGACTGTACTACTGCAGGCGGTGACTGTCTGCCCGTGATGTCAGCCATCCACTGCCCTAAAACTCTGAGTGCCACTTGTGACAGCAGCAGTCTGTACTGCTGTCAGCTCCATCAAGGTCAGTCAAGTGGGGGAGGGGAGGGGGCGTGTGTGCTTGTGAGTGTGGGTGTGTGTGTGTTTTAGCGACAAAGTTGACATTTTTTTTTGGTCTAAAGCAAGTGGTAAGTACACTGATCAGGTACTCATTAGTGCTGATTCGACTCAAGAACGTTCAGCAATTCCGAATTAAAGAGATACACAAACGCGAACACAGACAAAGACAGACAGACAGACAGACAGACAGACAGACAGACAGACAGACAGACAGACAGACAGACAGACAGACAGACAGACAGACAGACAGACAGACAGACAGACAGACAGACAGACAGACAGACAGACAGACAGACAGACAGACAGACACACAGACACACAGACACACAGACACACAGACACACAGACACACAGACACACAGACACACAGACACACAGACACACAGACACACAGACACACAGACACACAGACACACAGACACACAGACACACAGACACACAGACACACAGACACACAGACACACAGACACACAGACACACAGACACACAGACACACAGACACATACACACATATGTTTACATACACACAAAACATCCCCAGAAACTTCCAATACTTCTCAATATTTCCCTAGACCATCTCCCTACAAATGTGTCTGCTACCATCTCCTAAAATCTCCCTACAAATGTGTCTGCTACCATCTCCTCAAATCTCCCTACAAATGTGTCTGCTACCATCTCCTAAAATCTCCCTACTAATGTGTCTGCTACCTTCTCTCTACCAAGGTGTCTGCTAGCATCTCCTAAAATCTCCCTACAAATGTGTCTGCTACCATCTCCTAAAATCTCCCTACTAATGTGTCTGCTACCTTCTCTCTACCAATGTGTCTGCTACCATCTCCTAAAATCTCCCTACTAATGTGTCTGCTACCTTCTCTCTACCAATGTGTCTGCTACCATCTCCTAAAATCTCCCTACTAATGTGTCTGCTACCTTCTCTCTACCAATGTGTCTGCTACCATCTCCTAAAATCTCCCTACTAATGTGTCTGTACCATCTCTCTACTAATGTGTCTGCTACCATCTCTCTACAAATGTGTCTGCTACCCTGTCTGAAGCGGCATCGATGCCTTCCACAGAGAGCCTGACGGAGGAAGTTGCACCAGGCCCCGCCCGGCCCCTGCCCACCTGTCAAAGTCAAGATGGCGGCCAGTGCCTGTCTGTGTACTCAAGGATTTTCTGTCACGAGAAGTTGGAGGCGACTTGCGAGGGGCCAAATATGTACTGCTGTAGAATGGGATGAGACTGGTCAGACATGTGGTACACTAGGTATAGACAGCCCATATTATACACTAATATTACTACAGGCAATAAGTAAAACGAGTTGCCAAGGGGAGACTAAAATATTTACACTAAAGGCAATTAGAGAAAATCCACTTTATTTATCAGTTGTTGTGACACAGAAAACATTGAAAATCCAGGCTAAAAAACTTTTTTCCATAAACTACGATTGTATTTACCGTTTATTTAGGTAGGTCCAGTGAATTATTTTTACTTGCAAAGGAATTAACTGTGTAATATAAAATGTTTGAAATAAAAATTACATGAATTGTTTCCCTTCCACAGGACGAAAACCTGAATAAATCCCCATAACTATATCAAATATTTTTGTTCGTTTTCTGTTTTTTTTTTCTACGAATTTGTAATTAATTTAATTCAACTACACACATGCATACGCACACAGACATACCCACCCACTACCCACCCGCAATCACAATACAGACCTACACACGTACACACAAACCAACACATTTAACAGCGTAGTATTAATCAAGCGTCATAAACTGTATCTTATTTAATCAACTACACTATAGGCTCTAACAGTACCATATTATCAAAGCTTTAAAATATGTCTCCATGGTCTAAAATGGGTGATTGGAAATCCAAGCACGAAGTCTGCGCAGTAAGATGGCAGGAGCCAGATGGTGCCCATGTATCAGACCCCCTACTTCCTACTGCTGTTGGACCCAAGGGACAGGACGTTACCTGTAACGTTCGGAATCAGCTGTGTCGCAGGAGCTGCCGAAAGGAAAACACTCCACTCCTGTTTGATTTCGGAGTTTTCTCTCCTTGATGGGTTGCTGTCCCCAGCTGACGACTCTCATTCGAACTCGGGACTTTCGGGTTTGCAGCCTTGAGCTTACCCACCCGACCACTCCTACCTTCCATACCATCAAGAACTAATTAATTATTTAGATGAACATAAAATAATGTTTCAGGCAGTTGGATCCACTTATCCTAAATAAATATTATATAGCATGTATTCGGCTACTACTATCTTATAGAAAAAAACAACCCAACTATTCCTTACCCATCTACGAAGTGCTTGGTTTTAGAGCAGGTTATACTATCATATACATATACTAATTATCCTTGCTTGTTAACAAGTAAAGCAGTGATTTGATCTAGGGGGTGAGTAGGAGGGGGTAATACAGTGGCAAATTGTGAGACAAACACAAGCATCGAGATGGCCGCTATATTAAACACAAAATGGCCGCTGTATTAAACACAAGATGGCCACTGTATTAAACACAAGATGGCCACTGTATTAAACACAAAACGGGCGCTGTATTAAACACAAGATGGCCGCTGTATTAAACACAAGATGGACGCTGTATTAAACACAAGATGGCCGCTGTATTAAAAACAAGATTGTATTAAACACAAAATGGCGACTATATCAACCACTTAGAGGGCTGATGTATCAGTTAATTAAGAGAGGCGCTATATCAACCTAAATGCTGACATATTTCAAGAAGTAATCAGATTTTTTTCGCTAGTTGCCTGTAAATTTGACATGCTTTTTGCTGCACTGTTGGTACATTTTCTGAAAATCAACGGAACATCTTCAACAGTGTAAGATTTGAAATAGCCTCTATATTGCCAGATTAAAATATATATTAAAATATCGCCCCCCCCCCCTCCAACCCAGATTTAGTCATTCTCCGCTTCATCACACGAAAGAATAATTTTAGTTTTACTATTTTAAAAAGTGTTTTAGTTATAATTCATTTCGAGTCTTAAATAATTAATAATTTAATTTTAAATGCTAACGTTCAACTATTAAATGTGCTAAATAGGTTTTCGTCGTTATCTTAGACTATTTAATTTTTTTTTTTCTTTTTCCAATTTAAAAAAAAAAGTGCACTAAGACAGAATCACATTCAGCAACTTTCTGTAGAGGTTCTAAAATTATCCAAATGTACGGTACATTATGTAACGGATGTCAACTTCCATTTTCAAAGTTTATTCAATAAAATAGAGTTCTAAACTATTGGTTTATTTTTTGAGCCTCAACGATTAGTTTTCTTGAAAATGTGTCATACATGACTTTGCATTCGTTACAGGGATATATTCGTTCAGGCATATATATATATATATATATATATATATATATATATATATATATATATATATATATATATATATATATATATATATATATATATATATATATATATATATATATATATATATATATATATATATATATATATATATATATATATATATATATATATATATATATGTATATATATAGGACAATATAACATTTTATATAGAGAATATATACTTTAAACTCCCCTGAAAATAAACTGTTTTAGAAAAACTCAACGCACACCATTTTACCCCATGATTCTCCAGATCTGGCAAAATTTGAAAACCTCGAACGATTTCACCAGATTTGAGATTTTGGTGCAAGACGGGGAACGTTATCTCAAGGTCAAGGCTGGAGCTAATATAAAACTCTGCTGAAGTTCACCACACTGAGATGTGGACCCCTACACGAAACGTGAAAACAATGTCGGCGTTGCTTGTTTCTATTTTTGTTTTTTTACTTGGATTTTCGTTATCACAAGGTTATTTGAATTAATTCAATCTATTTAGCGTGACAAGCTTATAACATGTTTGTTCCCATTAATTATTTATATACGTAGAATTCCATTGATGATGTAAAAAAACAACATATTTCATAAAACAAACTGGAAGAAGAAGGCTCCTAATTAAAATGTTAAAAAGTCTTTCTATAATTAAGTTACTAAAATAAACGTTTTAATAGATACACGGAACAAATAGTTTCGTTATGCTTCTGGTTGTCAATTTTAAACTTCTCTACCTGCAGTCTAAAACAGTGAACTACCCAACACAAATATAAAACACGATTTGGTTCCGACATTTTTTACAGCCCAAAACTCGGAGTGCGAGATGGCTGGCGGATACTGTGTCGTCAAGACAGCCGCCATTGCATGTCAGGAGATGGCTGGCCATGCGTGTAGCAGAAGTGACGAGTTCTGTTGTAAACGGCAGTTCCGGTCTCAGGAGGTCAAAGGCGAGTGAAGTGTAGGCATTTTTGAGTGACCCAAAAAAATAGAAGGGGGGGGGGGAGGATGATGGGATTCCAGTGTATTATCTTATATTAAGCTTTAAGATTGTTTAGTGGGAAAGCAACACATAGCTGTGTATGGTCTATGAATGACTTAAACCTTAGTTTGAATGATTTGACACGTCTCTTTCTCCACATCATCTCGATGATTTGACACGTCTCTTTCTCCACATCATCTCGACATAAATTAAACATTCAATATGTTCTAAACACAAGTCACCGAGCACGTATATAAATTGGCGATAGCTAGCATAGCCAAGTATGAAAGATTAAAACACAATTTTTCCATTTCAAAGTAGAAGCAAGCTATAGCTCTTTATAAAGGCCACTAAACCTAAGCTATAGCTCTTTATAAAGCCCACTAAACCTAAGCTATAGCTCTATATAAAAGCGATCAAACCTAAGCTATAGCTCTATATAAAAGCCACTAAACCTAAGCTATAGCTCTTTATAAAGGCCATCAAACCTAAGGCTCGCATCCCGATCTATCCCTACCTAATATAAATTATAAATTCGATATCGGGCCTACTTTGGCAATGAGCTGTGCCAAAAATGCCCTGCTGGTACCTTATAACGGAAAGTGTCATAAAATCTTGATTCCAGTGGTCAAGAGGTCACAGTGTTCTCTACAAGGCGGCAGCTGTGTTCCCCTGATTGCAGGCATTAGCTGCCAGAGACTGGACGCTGCCTGTGATGGCGTCTTGAACACCTGCTGTCTGTTTCAAGCAGGTGAGTCTCTACAACACCTGTCTATTCCATGCAGGGGAGTCTCTACAACACCTGTCTGTTCCATACAGGTGAGTCTCTACAACACCTGTCTGTTCCATGCAGGTGAGTCTCTACAACACCTGTCTGTTTCAAGCAGGTGAGTCTCTACAACACCTGTCTGTTCCATGCAGGTAAGTCTCTACAACACCTGTCTGTTCCATGCAGGTGAGTCTCTACAACACCTGTCTGTTTCAAGCAGGTGAGTCTCTACAACACCTGTCTGTTCCATGCAGGTGAGTCTCTACAACACCTGTCTGTTCCATGCAGGTGAGTCTCTACAACACCTGTTTGTTTCATGCAGGTGAGTCTCTACAACACCTGTCTGTTTTAAGCAGGTGAGTCTCTACAACACCTGTCTGTTTCATGCAGGTGAATACAACACCTGTCTGTTTCAAGCAGGTGAGTCTCTACAACACCTGTCTGTTTTAAGCAGGTGAGTCTCTACAACACCTGTCTGTTTTAAGCAGGTGAGTCTCTACAACACCTGTCTGTTTCATGCAGGTGAGTCTCTACAACACCTGTCTGTTTTAAGCAGGTGAGTCTCTACAACACCTGTCTGTTTCATGCAGGTGAATACAACACCTGTCTGTTTCAAGCAGGTGAGTCTCTACAACACCTGTCTGTTTCATGCAGGTGAGTCTCTACAACACCTGTCTGTTTTAAGCAGGTGAGTCTCTACAACACCTGTCTGTTTCATGCAGGTGAGTCTCTACAACACCTGTCTGTTTCAAGCAGGTGAGTCTCTACAACACCTGTCTGTTCCATGCAGGTGAGTCTCTACAACACCTGTCTGTTTTAAGCAGGTGAGTCTCTACAACACCTGTCTGTTCCATGTCTCTACAACACCTGTCTGTTCCATGCAGGTGAGTCTCTACAACACCTGTCTGTTCCATGTCTCTACAACACCATGTCTGTTTCATGCAGGTGAATACAACACCTGTCTGTTCCATGCAGGTGAGTCGTGGTCGAAATGTAGAACACATGACCAGTAGCCTAGGTGTCTAGGGACATGAACAGTAGCCTAGGTAGTATGGGGCATACGACTAGCTCCAGTGAGAAACAGAATATCAGGGATCCTAGAAGATGTCTCTGGGACCTAAATTGTCTAATGGCTACCAAGAAACTCCATGTATTAAAAAATGTAAAAGTTTCACATTCCTTTCTTTTCTTCTTTACATTTCATCTAGTTCACCCAATAACAAGATCATACAGATGAACCTTTTACATAAACTCAACAGCTCTAAACAATATAACAGCACCCAAACTCACAATACACCGCCTGAAACAAGGGAGTGAACTCAATGGTTCGCCATTCTACAACATACAGTAAGAAAAGGGCGTTCATCAACCAGATAGAAACTTGCGAGTTGTCCCCCTTATGTTTGCTTGCAGAAGTCACGACAACTCCGAAGCCAGCGATCAGCCAAACCTGTGAGAGTGCAGGCGGTATCTGCATGTACGTCGGTGCCGCCATTTACTGCCCCAGCAGACTTGACGCCACCTGTAGCTTGAACGGCGACGCGTGCTGTCGTCTGCAGGTAAGTCCAAACGTCAGCGCCTGTTTTTGGTTTGGTTAGAACAAAGCTGGTGCCAGAATATCTAAGGGGTCGACCATAATTGGTGGCACGTTTTGGTGTTGAAATGGTGTGCTGATTAAAGGGGGGGGGGGTCTAGCTTTTTTTTTTAAGAGGGAAAAGTAACGTAAAATTATGGTAATTGACAGCAGTTATTTTAAGTGGATTGGAGTGGAGCGCCCTGAAGTAAAGCAGAGCTCTGTCCGTCCGTCTAGTAGTGTGGGAAGCGCCAAAATAGAAATAGGCTTAAGGGAAGTAACTATATTTGTTTTAATAATCATTGTGATTAACATGAGTTTTCTCCCTTTCCACAGAGCTAAAAAGGCAGACAAAGGCCTACTCAAGTCAAATTTTTTACCACAAATAGATTTCATAGCTGTTGGATTAAACACCGCCCCCTCCCCCAAAATAACTATTCTTTTCAAATGCCACTAACATATAGTATGGTACAAGTATCATAAACAGAGAACACAAATGGTAAGGTAATCATTTAATGATCCTATAGCATGTATAACACAGTACATAATGCTCAAGATACTACACAGTTATATACACAATAGGAATAAACCAATGCACCAACACAAAATACTTCTGCTACTTAATTTAGCACAGGGAATATACTTTTAAAATTTCTGGTAACTGAATATTAAAAAAAAAATCCTTTCTGGCATAGTTTTAGTTGCTTATTACTAAAAAACAAAAAGATGATTTTTTTAAATACGATGAATGAGTTGAACATGTACATGCTTTATAAAAACATAATTAACAAATTAATATCAAGCTGAAAAACTCTGATAACTTCACATGAGTTTTTACTGTATCTTAAAAAACAAACAAATGTAGATAAAAGATTCTGTTAGACCAGGGGTCTCCAAACTGCGGCCCGCGGAGATCTTTTTGTCCACGCAAAAACGTTTGTCGGTGATAGCTGAGGAACTTTTCCCAGAAAAATCAAAGACATGTCTGGAAGAAACTGGCCCCCGAACTGAACTTTGATAGTCAATGCGGCCCTCGGGCTGAAAAGTTTGGAGACCCCAGTGTTAGACTAATGACAAAAAGACAGGGGCAGATTACTCTCGTTGCTAGACCACCCAGAAGAAAACTCACTAAAAATCTGAATCAACAGGAATGGAACAAATATTGCACAGTAGAACAACCTAAACAGTTTGCTAAAATGCTAAAGGAGGTGAAAAAACCAACAACATGAATGGTGTACCAGAGATACTGTCCTTAGACGACCACAGGTCAGGTCCTCTCCCTTGGTTAAATGATACGTGTAGGAATGCATTTGACTTAACAGAGTTGTGCAAACAAAGATGTCAGTTGTAAAGTACAAAGTTACAAGATAAAAAGAGAGAACTAAATGGATGAAGTATAATGTACCTTGGAGTATACGAGAATAAAATACGCTATATCGTGATGAATACGGCTGGACAGGGAAATAAAAAAAAAAAAAACCACATATGAGCACAAAATTAAAAATAATCGTTGAACAAAACCTCATGCAAATTTAATTGTCTAAAGAAAAAGTTCACGAATTCAATGACTTAATAAAATAAAAAAAATTTGTTGTTGACCATAGAGTTAACTAAAACCAATTCTTGTTACAGCTGGTCATGTGACCACAACATCCTGTCTATACATCAATCTACAGCTACCTACATACACAAAGATTTTGTAGAAAACAAATTCCATTTTAACCAGCAGGCATCGCTACATAGACACCCAACAGTTGTTCTTACATTTAACTAACCAAAACAACAAACAATTAAACATCTTCGTTAGCTACCAAACAAATAAAAAAATGTTGCAGTGGATACACTGCAATTCAAATTAATTTATCACAGCTGATTGCAATATTAAAAGTTTGGCTGAAAAAGTTAACTAAATTTTTAACTGGCATGAATTATAAGCTTGTTAAAAGCCAGACCCCCTCTCAGCCACCAGCAATCATTGTGAGATGTACAAATTTAACACAAGTATCCAGGCTCTGCTTAAAAGCAAAATAATTTAAAGGCGCCAAAAGTACAGAAAGATTTCCCCACAAGACCTAAAGTTACAAGCTGTGATAGTCGAAATTAAAACTTCTACATTTCTACGACCAGATGGATACCAACCAGCTACTGACTTAAACTAGCATCTTGTCTCGTAAAGGCCACTGCGTCCAATGTATCGTACCCACTTGATGACATCATGATCACTATAGTTCATTTTAGATTCAAAGACTTTTAGATAACGAACTTTGAATCCAGATGGTGCAAATGGTACCTGAAATATTGAAAAAATGTGCATCAGACCATTTTTTTAATGTTAATAAAAATAAATCACCACAATTAAATTTAAAGTACAAGGACTAACCTCAAAATTCATAGATATAGGTGGTCTTGTCCATTTTTTGCCTTTATCACTTGTATTCAATAATTCAATTTCAGCACTCAATTGACACTCCTTCATGCCCCCCATACGCTTAATCCTGTAAGTAAAATAAATCAGTTAAATCACTTACAAGATATTTTGTACCAACAGGAAAGATGAAAAAACAAATAGGATTTATTTCTGATACAAGTTGTAATGTAGTGCTGTTTGAAGTTTACATTTTATAGTATGAGCATTTTATTCCAACATCGAAATGCTAAGAGAATGCCCAGAGCTGAGATATATAAACTCAGAACTTACTTCCAAACAATTGCATTTTCACTGGCCTTGTACTTGGCTTTCCCCTTCATGCAAATCACCTGGACACCACTGGTGTTTAAAGGTGTAGGAATGCGCACCTGAAGAAGTACAACATTAACTCATGTTCAGTTTAAAAAGCAGCAACAGTAAACTCAATGTATCTTCAATTTATGGTTTGACTCAATAAAATTTTAATGCCACAATCACCTCAACTTTCTGGGCCAGTAGTGAAGGCTTGAAGTTTGACTTGACTACCACCTTAACCTCCATTTTTTGTCTGCCAACTTCACGGACTAGTGGAATCACTCGGAATGGCAGACTTATATCCTTTGTTGTTCGATACCTATATATTATTTAAATCATGCTTTTTAATGGTAATCATATTTCAATTAAAAAAAAAAACTGAAAAAATAATAAAACAGGTTCTTAATTAAAATTTAACTCTAGAAAGACTAGTGTCAAAATTTCGTTATAAAAAATTCTTTACTTAAAAATACACATCAGCTTAAAATAAAAAGAAGTAAAAATACTGACCTCATTAATTCAAACTCCCCATCAGGGGGAATAAAACTGATGCTGTGTTCCGTCTCAAACTTGCTCAACTTAACACACTGGTGGAACTGGCAGTCATCAATAGCAATGGATGTTTTCCCCGCAGCGCTGTAGTAACCAAAACCCTCAATTTAGCAACAAATGTTAACATCAAATAGAAGTCAAACGTAATGAAAACAGAAACTTACGCTCCAGCACCGCGGGTTGTACTGTCATCCAAACTACTCTTTCCTTTGCTTTCCATCAGGACTTTGTCATTAATACCAAATTTACACTCAGGCATACCACTGAGGTAGCTCTTCATCACAATACGTCCAGCGACATGAGCACTAAGTACTTGACCTGGGTGGAAATAACGACTTAAAATTAGTTCACGGGATGAACTACAGCAATATAAAGAAGACATCTTAAGCCTTACAAAATGAATCAAGAACATTAGGAGAAAAAAGGATAGTTCTGCACTATTATACTTTAAGTCACCAGGTTTCATGACAGGGTAAAATATGAGAAGAAACGTTTACCTTGAGGGGACATGAGCAAGTTGACAGACTCAAGAACATCCAGGAAAAGTTCATTTCTCCTGTATTTTATGCCCTCCCTTCTCCAGCCTATTTGACCAGTTACTTGGGATGTTATTTGTGCTGTTTCTTCTTTGGTCTGTCAAGGAAAATAAAACAGTTACCAACAATAAAAACCAGGGAAAATTTTTGTCTTGCACATTCTCATCATTTTAGATATTTTGTATTAATAGGTCTTAAAAACTAAAGCAGGTTTTAAAAAAAAAAAAACAAATAAAGAAACTAACCTGTGATTTAACACCTTGTTGAGTTATAAATGTTTTTAGTATACCAACATCTGTGTTTTGAGGGTATCCAAAGTCCAAAATTTCTGTAGGAGAAATATAGTCAGACTTAGAAAATAGTTTAAGTAATGGGTGATTTAAAAGACAATTCAAAATTAAGTATTGATTTTTATATCCATGAGCAAGTTTTAAAATACTTACCATCAAGAATCTCATATATCAATACAAAGTTATTTTTAATATTCTCCTCTGAAATCTTTCCAAAATAAGCAGCCATGACCTCACACATTTTGTGTAGAAACTCAAACACCATGGCGGCATTGACATTCTGCTTGGTGACAGCAGCCACCCAAATATTAGAGCGCTTGATGTGGAAAAAACTGGTGCGGGCAATGTTCGTCACAGGAGATCGCACTTGCTGTCTGGCGTGAATCACATTCACGCGAAATGCATCAACAGCATTACGGCTGGAGAAAATATAAAAAAATGTAGATTTTGATAACCAGTTGATTGCAATACCATGAAATTGCTTTTATTTCGTGTAGGTTTGTGAATAGCAATAGTATTTAGATAAGTAAGTTCCCTTTTTGAACCTGACGATCCATGGGGCCAAGTTTACCAGTCCACAGGTCGAGTTCATCTGTTTCTGTGGCTTCAGCATCACAAGGGATAGTGTGGTCAGCACTATACCGAGCTACTTTACTTTCCCCAATGTGAGTTAGGTACCCATCAGAGCTGGGTAGACTCAGGTAATATTAATAATTAGGTGAAAGCTCCATGGCTTGTTGAAAAAAAACCAGACTAAACATTACTCCTAAAAATATATATTTAACAATAGCGCAACTGCAAAACATTATTAAAGTTTATCAACACAAAGTTTTAAAGATAAAAACAAGAGCCCAACACTAACCCTATGTCATCTCTAAAAACCCTGGAGATCAACACCTCTCCCTTGTGGTTATAGATAAACAATCCGCCAATCATTGTGGACAGGTAATTCTCTAATTTGAGGTGGTAATTCAGATAAATGCAGCAAATATTCCTCTTTCAAATACAGGACACTTGTTCAGCTGAAATAAAAAAAAGGCACTATAAATGTCATGTGAGTCATGTGTGATTTTATTTTCCTATGATTTAGGCCTATTATAAAATTTGGTACATCTGGAATTCTGGATTAACCGGGATATCACAAAATATTAAAACACCAGAATTAGGCCTAATTTTTAGAATGTTGTCTAACCAGCAGGTCAGGTAAGATGTCTAACCCTAACACTTTGCAATAGTTTAATAAAATTTTAAATTGGGAAATAATTTAAACAAAACAAAGACTCACCACTAAAACTAAAAATTTGTTGTAGGCCTACCCACTACTAATTTAACTAGGCCTTAGGGCCCGCCTTAGGCTTAATTAATTACTAACTTATAACTAGATCTTGATAAAAAATCTAACAGTAATTTATTAAATTATAAACATAAAACTAGACGATTAGATAAAATAGATTGTCTGACTGGCTAAAATTCTCACTTTGAATTTGCATTTTGTTAATTTTTTTCAATCCTGTTTTTTGTTTGTAGGAAATCTCTACAATAAATTTTAATAAAAATTTTATAAATGTAGATCTAGATTACTAACGTTAACAGCGATATAAAATGTGTTAGAAACTTTACGCGATACAGATTGCCAATTAGTACCCATAAAACGGTTTGGGATCGAAGAGGAAAAATTACTTCAGCATATATTTAAAAAAATACCTACGTTAACCGGCGATACATTGAAGGGGTGTCAACATCGCCATCTTTATTATTCCCACAATGCATAACCACTAGATCTACCAGATTTTTGTCAGGAAATTAAAGTATGCAAAAGCCAAACAATAAATAGGACCAATCTTAACACTTTGTAATTGGAATGTTTTTACATTTATTGATTTAACTTTGTAACAATTTTATATTATAGATTAAATACCTTTCGAGTTATATTTAAAAAAAATATATATGTAAGCTTCAACTACGTACATCGTAGCAGTGATTCACCGCAGGAAAATAAAATATTTACGAGCAACTTTGTTCAATTTTTCGCTTTGCATGTTAGTTTAAAGTAAAATCATAACATTTGCTTTCAATAAAGCAAATAAAGCTTTCACATTTTTTGTAATTATCATTTAAAATTTTTTTTAAATCGTTAGGTAAAGCTTTTAATAATCCTGAAATTAAAAGTTTTTTTCTGAACCTTTAGAAAAATAAATGAACTAATAAGCAGTATTAAAAAACAACAACAAAAAAACAAGTCAGTTAAATTTTCCTATCGCCTTGCTATGCGATTAATAGAAGAATAGATTTATACTATTACAAAAGAAAGTGAAACATTTAAGCTATTACAGAATTATTTTGAACTCTAAAATTAATTTATTAAGAGAGATAACTACTGTTTGAGTTTTAGCAGAAATAATTTTAACGTTGACACGATAGTCTCCCTTGACACACTCGTTCCTTTTTTCAGTAACCTGTAGTTGTGTAGCCTCCTACCAGCAAAGATAAAAAGAAAAAAACAACTTGGTAAAGTGGTAGTCTCAGTGGCGTAGGCAGGGGGGGGGGGGGGGTTAGGGGGGGTCATAACCCCCCCCCCCCCATAGACCCACCCCTCGGTATATAGAAAAAGTATGAGGGGGGTGTGCAAATCGAAAGTTTGAGGGGGGGGGGGGGGGGTGCAAATCGAAAGTTTGAGGGGGGGGGGGGGATGCAAATCGAAAGTTTGAGGGGGGGGGGGGGTGCAAATCGAAAGTTTGAGGGGGGTGCAAATCGAAAGTTTGAGGGGGGTGCAAGTCGAAAGTTTGTCCCCGGGTAAAAATTGGAAACCCCCCCTTGAGACGATCCTGGCTACGCCACTGGGTAGTCTACACTACAAATGGAGAAAACAAAAAAAAAAGGGGGGGGGGGGGGAAAGGAGAAGTAAAGTCTAGTAATGTTTCAGTGAAGTGTAAGACTTTTCATTTTAACACCTCTACATCATGTCATACTTTGCCACACTTTAGCATGGTAGCCACCCATGGCCTAAATCTACATGGCTGTCATAAAAATACATTCGCTAATTAGCACACTTTAATATTCCAAGTTACAATCACCACGTTTTAAAATTAATTATTCGTCAAAGAATATTGAGCTAATTCCGTTTAATTCATTTAATTGCTTTGTTTAAAAAAAAAAGGTTTATAAAAATGCTTCATTTATTAATTGCATAGGGCTTAGCATCACTCGCAGGAATTTTCGTTTCCAAAAATGAACTTTGATAATTTTGCTTCATCAAAATGGTAAGCATATATTTTGGTGCCATGCTTTTATACATAGACTTATAAAAATTAGAGTACGAATTCCACGTTGGACTAGGGTGAGAAAGATAGGTTTCAGTCAGAGGCGTAGCTGGGGGAGGACGGATGGGGCGGCCACGTTTTTGCCAATGCCAATATGAATAACTATACAGATGGTGGGGGCGCAAAACTTACAGTACGCCCGGAGCGCCGGAATGGGGTGCTACATCTCTGGTTTCAGTTCAAAGTTGACCAGTTGGCCTATCATATCAAAACCGGGCTACAATATTTGCCTAGAAAGACAATAGCGTGTCATTCAATTTTGTATTGAAAGTTTTTTTTTTAAATTTTTATTTCAATCTAATATATAAAGCTCAGTTCTGTATGTAATCTGTATGTCGTTGGAAGTGTACGAATTTAAAAGTTAGAAAATTATCGTGCGCATTTGTCTAAATTTATGAGCTAAAAAATTACTATTGAAAGTGTTGGGAAATCATTTTCATTTTTCAAATTATAGTAATAATTGTCGGCATGTTCATTAAACACAAGTTTTAAAAAAAATATCATCTTTTACAAAAATTCTAATTATGTCTTTATTTAGTCCTATAGCACTTACTTCCCTTTGATAAATTAGGAAAAACACAATTACTTCCCTTTATAACTTTATAAAACCATTGCATTCCGTGAAAATAATTTACTTTTTAATTACTTTGTTTTGGTGTTGGGAAAAAAAAAATTACATAATTAGCGGGGATTAATCAAGTGCAAATGTAGGTATTTTACGGATAAGCTTGGAGTATTAAAATTGTTTATTAAATTGAAACAGGCGCGTCCGCCGGCGCCCCTGCACGGTTCGATTTGGCACCCTGGGCTATCATGTGAGCGCTATGCTGCATAATTTTGTTTTGAACATTGCGATAGACTATGGATAAGAAAGGTTACTATAGTCTTTAAGTGAATCAAATCCGGGCGTCCTCCGGCACCCCGACAGGGTGCTATTTGGCGCCCCGGGCCTTCCGGTGTACGCTAGGGTATCTACGTTCGCGTGAGTTCAAAAGACTATGGATAAGTTATGTACTATAGTCGTTTACCAAGTTCAATCAGGCGGTGACGTCATGGTGCGTCCTCTGGCGCCCAGACAGGGTGCTATTAGGGGTCCCGGGCCTCCCGTGTTCGGTTTCGCGCCTACGTTCATTAAAGTGAGTGCAAAAGACTATGAATAAGTTGCGGTACTATAGTCGTTTATTAAGCTGAAGCAGGCGATTCAGCCCCGTGAGCACTGTGCGTTTATGTTCGCGTTAGTGTTTTCTTTGTCTTTAGGTTGGGTTTGCGTTAGTGGTTGCGTTTTGATTTGGTTCGTTTTTGTTCTTTCTTTTTTTGTTTTCGTTTGTGTTTTATTTTCATTGGGTTTGCGTTTGTGTTTGTGTTTGAGGTTGGTTTTGCGTTTGGATTTGGTTTGTTTTCGTTTTTTTTTTCTTTTGTGTTTTTTTCTTTGGGTTTGTGGTTGGTTTTGCGTTTGGATTTGGTTTGTTTTCGTTTGCTTTTTCGTTTGTGTTTTTTTCTTTGGGTTTGTGTTTGTGTTTGTGGTTGGTTTTGTGTTTGGATTTGGTTTGTTTTCGTTTGCTTTTTTCTTTGTGTTCGTATTGGTGTTTGTGGTTGTGGTTGGTTTGTTGTAAGTTTTTGTTTTCGTTTGTATTTGTAATTGTGTTAGCTTTTATTTGCGTTTTGTTATTTTGGTTTTGGTTGGTTGTAGTTTGGGTGGGCAGCAATGCCGGGTTTATGATGATAACTAAACATACACGTAATGGTCTTTAACAGAAAGGTTTTTCACAGAAGCCAGAGCAGGGCCTGGCCGGGACGGCTAGTGTTAGATAAATGCTTACTTTTCAAAGGATGTGCATAACATTGAACGGGAATGTCGAAAAATGCACGCATCTACTGCAAGGACAAATTGCACTAGTTTTAATGGAGTTGATAACTGTACAGTTTCAATAAGCGGTCAGATAACAAAAATACACTCTGCAGAGATTTTGTTAAGAAATGTTTCTGATGTTAATCTGAATTGAAATGCTAGTGATATAGTGATATCGAAATATTGAATGAAGTTGTTCATAACGAATCCATGGTTAAAATATTAAAATAGGTGACGTATAGACATGACGTTTATCATCTTAAGAAATACAAGGGTACCTCACGATGCTGGTCCTCTCACATGTAGCACATGTTACATTTATCTCCCCTACCCCCCACAGGTAGGTGAGGGATGCGCTCACTTGCTTTAAGCTTTAAGTTATTCATTCGTTATGTCATCAAACGTGCGGGGGGGGGGGGAATGACAGGGGGATGGTGTCCTACTGTCTTACTCTAACAAAGAGTAATTATTGTTACATTCGCTCCCCCTGCCTTAATATTACGCGATAATTTCTATACCCCTCCCATTGAAATTTTAAAAGTACTTCCTCCATCACCTGCCCTCAAAAGTCTCAGATGCCCCCCCCCACCCCCTAAGCCGAGGAGCGAAATGCCTGAAAGAAAGTGAAAAAAATATAAAAATATTCAGCAAAAAAAAAACAAAACAATTTGGTCGAATAAAAAAATACAAGTAAAAACTGTTTATAACATAAAATAAAATTGTTTATAATATTTTATATGTTAGCTTCCAATATATCACCCGCTTGAAACGTTTTCTTCGCTTTATTTATTTTTGTATATGGAGCAGATTTCATTTACTGCGGGGCAGAATTCATTTACTGCTGAGCTTTTATCTACCTTCATGACAACTGAATTCTTAATTTAATTTCCCGGGCCTTGTGAGGCTTCTGTCCAGTAGTTGGAATCAATGGCTGGACACAATGAGGACAGGGGCGGAGCATGTTTGGGCTGGGGGGGGGGGGGGTGTTGAATTTAACGCTAAACTAAGAGGAGAGTTTGCTATTGATCTGGCTGTTGATGGATTAAGAACTAATCAGAAGGGCAAAAAATAAGTCTGAAAAAAAAACTAGGCATTTTTTAAATACACTTCTTTCATTTTCTATGATAGGCTTTTCTATATTATAACATATATATATATATATATATATATATATATATATATATATATATATATATATATATATATATATATATATATATATATGTTACGGTCAAAGCCCGAAGTCGGCCAATGCTAGGATTGGCCGGCCAATCCGCGCATTGGCCAATATCGCCTCCCATAGGTCGGTCAAAGTCCGAAACTTTGCATGATTTCGGCCTTTGGCCGGCCAATCCGCAGACTGGCCATGTTGGACCGGCCAAAGTCTGAAATAGCTCTTGATTTCTTAATTAGAAGATCATCTGGCTAGGGACGACCGGCCAAAGTCCGAATTAGAAGATCATGAGCAGATTTTGGTGTTTTTTTTTATGCCGTAAGGATCATGAAATTAAGTCTTAATTGATTATTAATTAAAGTAAATGACAGAAACATTCAAATTTTTTATTGTACTATAGTCTCAATCTATTAATATCATCATTTGTTACAACAAGTTG